CAGGGACAGAGAGGACGCTGTAGGCACTGGACCTGTGATTTTATTGGTATAGGAATCCCTCCATGCAGAAGTTCATTTTCATTCTGCCAATGCATATCAATATCTTCCCTGCAATTTATGGTCTTAAATAGTTCCTGGAACATTGAGAGGTTAAGTGATTTAGCCAGGATCACAGCCAATATATGTGGGACTAGAACCCAAGTCTTCCTGGCTCTAAGGCAGGTTGTCTATTATTTCACAGTAGCCTCTTTGGCTCCTTTAGGGGTCAGAGAAACTCAAAAAAAGCAGAGAGCATTTTCAGCATCATATATTCAAACACCATGAACCCATCTTTAAACTCAAACCATGCAATAAATGTCAACTAAGATCCTCTTGTACTCCTCCCATTCTGTTTTCTTGGTTTCTTGTGGTTTCAGACTATCAGACTGAAAGTTCTCATGATCAGGTCTTCCAGAAATAGCACGTGCAAGCTGACAAAAGCAATTTGTGTGTATCTGTTTGGGGGGGACATCATTGTGAACTCAAGGGGTATTTGTGCTAAGTGGTAGCCACTTTCCCGATTATTCCATTCTTCTGCCAGAAGCTGCCTGCCCATTGATTCTTGTAACTCCCTCAGAACTTGAGCTGAAGACAGAGATGGCCTTTCAAGGAATGAGTGACTCATGATGTCATGCTTTTTCTCTAGAGCCAAAGAAAACAGAAGAGACTTTCAATTGGTGGAAATTCCTTTTGCTCAATGGACATAAGCTTGTCATGAGGGCTAAAAACAAACTGGTGAACATTAGCAAGATTCTTGAGCTTGTGGTTGTCAGACTGCATTAGAAAGCCAACTTAAGAACTTCTAGCACATGAGATTTGGGATAGAATTAAGGCTGTAACTTTTTGTAGTAGCAGATAGCTGGAAACAAAGTGAAAGCCCGTCTGTTGGGGGATGGTTAAACAAATTGTGGCAGGTGGAAGAAGGTAATGGAATGTTATTGCACTGTGAGAAATGTTGAATATGAAAAATATAGAGAAACCTGGGATAGCTTAGATGAAACAATATAAAATGATGTAGCAGGACCAGAAAAACAACTTAAAGTGACTTGTTCATTTGTCTCAGTCATGTCTGACTCTTCATGACCCCATTTGGGGTTTTCTTGGCAAAGATATGGAAGTAGTTTGCCATTTCCTTCTCTAGCTCATTATACAGATGAGGAAACTGAGGCAAACAAGGTCACATGGCCAATCAGTGCCTGAGGCCAGATTTGAACTCAGGAAGAAGTCTTCCTGACTTTAGGTCCAGCACTGTATCCAATTAGCTGCTTTAAAGTGACTTCAACAAAATAAAATTAAAGAAAAAAAAGGTGAGACTGAAAACTGTGACATTATAATGATTAAGTCTGGTTCAGAAGAAGAGAGGAGAAAATGAACATCCCTCCCTCCTTTGTAGGGTTGAGACGAGTATAGGTCTGGGACGTTGTCTATGCTGTTTGATTTCACATCTGGTTAGCTTGCTTGAACTTCTTTTTATACTCCCTTTTTTATTCATTTGGGATGGCTCCCTGGGTAGGGAAGGGGGAGGTATATATATTTGGAAATAAAAGTAATATAAAAACAAGATATCAATAAAAAATTTTTAAAAAGAATTGTCTGTAAACAGTGATAAAAGAATAGATTACTAAGAGATTTTAAGCAATCTTCTCTGTAAGTCTTTCTTGGCTATCTTTGGCACAAGTGGATAGAGTACCAAGCCTGGAGTCAGGCTCATCTTCCTGAGTTCAAATCCTGCTCTAGACTTACTAACTGTGTGACCCTAGGCAATCACTTAACTCTATAAAAAATAGATAAATAAAATTAGATCATGGGGCTCAGTACCAAATATAGTACTCCAGATGATAACTGAGTTATCACCTGATAACTGTTACCAGTTGAGACAATAACTGAGGTTAAGTGATTTGCCTGAGGTCACAGAGCTTAAGTATCTGAGGTCAGATTTGAACTCAGGTCTTTCTGACTCCAGACCTACCACTCTATCCACTGTACTATCTAGCTGCCCTAAAGTAAGAAGGTCTATTTAATTGGACTCTAGAACACCAAAAGTGGGAAATAATTTATAATAGGTAGGTTAGGGCCAGGTTGCGAAGGCTTTAAACGTCAAACAGTGGTATTTATATTTTATCTTAGAGGTAATGGCAAGACGCTGGAGTCTATTGAAGAGGGGAGTGACATGGTCAGGCATATTTAATTAAGGGAAATCACTTTGGCATCTGTGCAAAGTCTGAATTGGAGAGGAGAGAGTGGAGGCAGGGAGGCTGATTAAGAGACTGTTTAAAGCTCTAAAGAAATGTTAGCTATTATTCATGAATAGCTATATTTAATAAAAAAATTATTAAAGTGATTCTTAAAGTCATGGGTTAGACTATATGGCCTTTGAGGTCTCTCAGCTCTTTGTGATGAATAATCTTGGCATGTTTGCAATGGACAGTATTTGTTTTCCTTTAGTGTTCTTAAGTAACTGAACTAGGAAAAAATAGAAATTATAATGTTGTGTTTAATAAATGTTTTTTTTGTTCTTGCCTTCAAAAAATAAAATAAAGTGAAATAAGGAAAAAAAAAAAAGAAAGAAAAACCCAGAAGTCAGAAAAAAAGAGGCTAATTGCAGTAGTTTGGGTGAAGGGTGTTGAGGACCTGAACCAGGATGGTGTCCAGGTGAATAGAGAGAAGGGAACAAATGTAAGAGATGTGAAGGTAGAAATGGCAAAATTTGGCAAGTGATTGGGTTTATGGGGTAAAGGAGAATGAGGGGGCAAGGATAATTCTGAGATTATATGCCTGAGTGATTAGAAGGACTGTAATGCTCTTGATAGAAACAGTGAGCTTTGGGAAAGGAGAAGACTTACAGGAAAGATGATCAGTTTGTTTTGTACATTGAATCATAGATTCAGAGATGAAAGGGTCCTTAAAGGACCAATAGTCTGTTGGACTATTTTACAGATGTTAAGAATAAGGCTCTGAGAATTTAAGCAATTTTCCAAGATCATGGGGTTGTATTAGAGGCAGAATTTGTACCTGAGTCTTCCCAATCTGAAGACTGGCATCTTGTCCTCTCTGCCATGTTGTCTCTACATGTTGAGTCTGAGATGTTTATGGGACATCCAGTTTGAAATGTCCAATAAAGCAATTGGGTATGCTTGACTAGTTAGAGCTTGGGAGAAGAACTCAAACTGAATATGGAGATCTGGGAGTCATTTGCATATAAGTTATAAATCCGGTAGTTACCAATTGATAGACCCTAGGGGGAAAAGGGAAGAAGGTTCAGTATAGAATCTGAAGCTATATGTTACAGAGGATGCTATGGATTAGGCAATGATTACTAAATAAGAGGGGCAGCTAGGTGTCAAAGTGGATAGAGTGCCAGGCCTGGAGTCAGAAAGACTCATCTTTCTGAATTAAAATACAGACTCAGATACTTACTAGCTGTATGACCCTGGGTAGGTCACTTAAGCCTATTTGCCTCAGTTTTCTTATTTGTTAAATGAGCTGGAGAAGGAAATGGCAAACTACTCCAGTATCTTTGCCAAAAAACCCCAAAGAGGACCACAAAGAGCTGGACATGACTGAACACCAACAACTAAATGAAAGAGAATCAACATGGCAACATGATCCAAAAAGAATACCTTGTTCAAGTTACCAGATAGCAACCAGGAACAGGTTCGGAAGGTCAAAATCAGAAATCCATGAGATCCAGGGTTCTAGGCATGAAATCATGGTCTGAGTCCAAGAGCAATGAGGTCAAAGACAAGTTAGGGCCATACAGAAGAGGGTTAGAAGAGCCATAGGGATGGAGGAGGGCAGTGATTCATATGGATAGATAGGTGAGTTGATAGAGCTTAAAACTGCACTAAGATTTTTTGGGACACCCTGTACAAGCTAAAAGACATTTCCCACCCTCAAGAAGCTTACAGTTTAATGGGGGAAACCAACATGTAAAATAGACTATGAAATGGTGGTCCAGACTGGGTATTCGACAGTCATGAGAAGTCTTGAGGGGCAGAGCCATCTCCAATGTGAGAAAGCTACTGGGAAGGGGATGGAAAAATCTGGAGAGTCAGTAGTGGAGTTGGGAATTTAAGACAGCAGCATTCTATACCTGAGGATTACTAGTCACTTCCCTCCAACCACACTGCTACTCCCATCCCCAACCAAACTGAAGACAATGCTGTTGTGGGCTCACCCAGAAGGGCAATAGTGATTCCTTAGAAATCTCATCTTATCTCACTTTATCTAAAATAAAACCATAGATTCTATTTATCCTGGTTGGTTTCAAATAGAAGTAGATACGACCTGGCTCTTCTGTCTTCCCCCAAATGGTCTGAGAACTGGTACAATTGCCACCCTCTTAGTTCTGTCCCTGATTGTAACAAAACTTTAACTCCATTTTGGATCTTGGGACAATTCTTTTACTTGGGGGTGAGGGGAGGAGGAAACATTTAGGGGTGGGCCAAAAAGAAGCTCACCCTGGGGTGAAGAAGCTTCTAGTCCCTACCTTCTGATTACTTTGTAGTTTAACTCTTTATTCTTACTAATAAAACAGGAGTTTGATAACTGAATGGTATCCTGGGATTTAATTCATTTTTTATTTTCAATTTCATTTTCAATTTAATTCATAGGGATAAGCATTCCCTTGCAGCCCATTATGCTAACCAGATACAAATTCAGTTGTTTCTAACTGCAGACAGAATATAAATACTGTCAGCAGCCCCTAAATTTTAGTGCTCCACTAAACCTCCAACCTGCCCACACTAGTTAAGAGTTTTATTCAGTTATATTTATTAAGTTCTGCTATATTCGAGGGTGCTATGTTAGGTGCTAGGAATACAAAGGTGAAAATCAGACCATCAGTGCCATCGGGGAACTTGTATATTATTTGAACTGGGACAGGGGAGTCTTCAGAAAGAGGTGACACCTTACTGAAGAAAGAGGCAGGGGAAAAAATAAATCCTATGTCTGTCCCCTAGGCAGAACCAGTTACCTGACACTCCCCCCTACTCTGGATCAGATCCGAGCCCTCCTCCTCAGGTCAAAGGTGAGTGACATCTCTCACTGTCATGGTTCTTTTTATTTTACTGGATGCTGGATTGTGAGAAATTCTTTCTCATCTGCTCCTTCTTCCAGGAGCTGGTGCTAGACCTCTTGCTATGTTACAGCACTCCACACCTGGAAAGATGCTTCCTAACCCGCCTGAGAATATATATGAAATGAACACCATTGGATATCCTTCAAGTGGGTTCCATGACTGTTGTCTGAAGATCAGTAATGCTGAGGCTCCTTGGGACCAGCCTACATCCTCCCACTTGGACTCAAATTGTTCTTATCCCCAACCAAGACTGCACCACAGCCCACGGTAAATGGCCAGAGAATTTTTACAATAGGCTTAATAGCAGAAGCAATCTCCAAAGCTATCGTGATTCTTAAAATTAGTGATTTAGAGTAGAGATTTTTAACTTGTTGGGTATCATGGGCCCCTTTGGCAGATGCCAAGGGACCCTTTCTTGGAAAAATGTTTTTAATTGCATCAAATAAAATACAAAAGAAACTAATTATATTGAAATGCAGTTATCAAAGTATATGTAAAAACACAAGCTCTTGGATCCCACAGGGTCTGTGGGTAGATTTCAGGGGTCCATAAAATTGAATGGGGAAAAAAAAATCTTTATTTTCTCTAAACTTAATTGAAATTTTGAGTATTTCGGTGGTTGTGGGGGAGGAGGTGGCTGTGAACTTGGATGGGAAAAAATTATGTCTTTATTTCAATATAATTGTTTTCCTTCGTAATCCACATTTTTTCTTTTATTCACTTAAAAACATTGCTCTGAGAAGGGGGCCATAGGCTTCAGTTTACCACCAGAGGGATCCATCACATACATAAAGGTTAAGAATCCCTGGTTCAGAAAAATAATGGGTGCGAGCCTTGCCAGAAGATGGCACTGTTGAGACATTTATGAGACACTGTATTGGTCCATTGTTTTTGACTGAGAATCTTTGAAGAAAAGGCTCAATAAAATCCCAAAGGTCTCTAATTGAATGAAAAGGTAAAAGGTCAGAAAAATACAGGGGAGGATTCTGGATGCCCAGGAAAGCATTGTTTATCTGACCGGCCAGGATGCTTTAGGGATTGAAAAAACCCCAAACCTAAACAACAGCAAAGCAATTCTCTTAAAAAAGCAATTAACATTAAGCATTAAATTATCCTGGCCCTTAACCTACTTAAAAAAAAAACTAGAATAAAAATTCTTAACCAGACAGTCTATGAACTTTGAAAAAAAATTAAATGACTGTATTTCAGTATGATCGATTTACTTTGTAGTCTTGTGTGTTTAATTTATTAATTTAAAAACATTATTCTGAAAAGGGACCCATAGGCTTTTCCAGTTTGCCCATCACACAAGAAAAGTTAAGAACTTTAGTCTATACGGTGCTACCAAGATTAAAGGGCATCAGAAATGATACTCAAACTCCCAGTGAGGAAAGGGTTATCTACTAACACGGTTAAATTATACTGAGATTAAGTACATATTATTTTTCTCTAAGTGAGCTCTGGGAACGTGGAATACCTTATCAGATTATTTAAAAAAACATTATACATCATACACACACACATACACACGGACATATATATGATAGGAATGTATATGATGGACATATGGATATATGTATGATGGCTACATATATGATGGATATATATTATATATGTATATAAAAGATGGACATATATATGATGGATGTATGTGATGAACATATACATATATGTATACACACATACAGACACACACATGTCTATCTATATCTCTATCTCCTTTCTGGAAAAGATGTAGAGAAGGGTAAGGGTCAAGGTCTCCTCACCAGAGGAAATCACAATTAGGTATAGAGGTTAGACCTGACTCATTAAACTTCACTTGATAAAACATGAATGGAGTAAAAGAGAAAGACTAACAGATTACATTGTTTTCATTTCAGGGTCTTACCGCCACCAACCAAAAAGAGAAAGTATTCTCAGGTGGTAGAAGAGAAGGAGGAGGAAGACTGTCTGCTGTGGGCTAGAGACTACAGAACAAGTAAGCAAAATATAGATGAGAAAAGAACTCAGCCTTAGCGAATAAATAGGTTCTTTCTCCTGCTGGTGGATAACTCTTGGAAATGCTTCTGCTCTTGACGATGAGCTGCCATTATGTGCTGCTGTCTCTTAGATGTAACGTTTTGATCCACAATCTTAGACAGGGGTCATGTTTGCTTTCCCAGGAAGTGGTATTGTTCTTTGAGTCATGTTTCCCCTCCAGTGTGGTAGAGTGAAACCTCAGAGCCGCTGCTAGGAGAGACAGTCATTGTCAAGGGCTGGTGGATGGAGCCTGGGCTTTTGTGGCATGAGGTGACCCGCACAGGATAACGCTTGCTGGTCAGTGTGCTTAATGAGGATTTCCCTAGAGTAGATGGCAGGAAGGCTTTTCAGTTCCTTTTCCTCCCTTTAATACTTGGTCTAAATCACCAGGTTCCCAAGACCTATTTTTATCATAATAAAAGCAATCCATAGGGAATTCAGAATTCTTCTGTAGAAGTCAGCACTTACCTCCTTCCTTACTTATAGTGGTGGATGAAATGCTGGACTTGTAGTTGGAAAGACCTGGGGTCAGATCCCAACTTTGATGTTCACCAGCTATGTGGCCCTGGGCATTAGCCAGCCTTTCTCAATCTCAGACTACTTGTTCATAAAGTGGGGTTAATCACAACTGTATCACTTACCGTATAGAGTTGTAAAAGAGATAACATATATTAAACGTTATCTAAATGTCAGGTTTTTTAAAGGAGAATTTTGTACTTAAAGAATCGGTAAAATTGGAGCTGTTTAGTTTAATGCAATAATAATAAATCCTAGAGCAGGGGTTCTTAACCTGGGGTCAGTAAAATTGTTTAAAATATATTTTGGTAACATTTTGTAAAAAATTAGATAACTACACAATTTATTTTATGTGACATATAACTAATATATTTTTATAATATATAAACATATATTATATAGAAAATACACACGTAAAAGTGATATACAAATATAATCCTATATATTTTGGCAACTGGGTGGCATACTGATAGTGTATTGGGCCTGAAGTCAGGAAGGTTCATCTTCCTGAGTTAAAATCTGGCCTCATACACTTACTAGCTGTGTGACCCTGGGCAAGTCACTTAACCCTGTTTGCCTCATCTGTAAATTAACCTGGAGAAGGAAATAGCAAACCGCTCTAGTATCTTTGCCAAGAAAACCCCAAATGGGGTCACAGAATGTTGGACATGATCGAAACAATTGAATAATAACAAAAAGTAGGAATGGGCTGCCTTGGTCATGTCCAACCTCACTAGGGGTCTTCACAAAGAGGGAGAATTAGCAGAGTTGTCATAGAAGAGAATTCCTATTTAGGTAATAATAATAATAATAATATCAGCTAAACATTTATATGGCACTTCAAGGTTGACCTATATTATTTCTTTTGATTTGATCCTCACTACAACCCTGTGAGATAGGTGCTATTAATATCTTCATTTTACAGATGAGGAAACTGAGGCCCAAAGAGATTGTGACTTCCCATTAGAATGTAAGCTCCTTGAAGGCAGGGACTGTCATTTTGCTTCTATTTGTTTCCTGAGCCCTTTATACATAGTAAACACTTTATACTTTCTCCCTCTTTCCCTCCTTTCCTTCCTCCCTTCTTTCCTCCCTTCCTTCCCTCTCTTTTTTCCTCCCTCCTACCCTATTTTCTTCCCTTCTATTCCCCTCTTTTCCCTTCCCTCCTTCTCTCTCATCCTTCTTTATATCCCTCTCTTTCCCTCCCTCCCTTCCTTCCTTCCTTCCTTCCTTCCTTCCTTCCTTCCTTCCTTCCTTCCTTCCTTCCTTCCTTCCTTCTTCCTTCCTTCCTTCCTTCCTTCCCTTCCTTCCTCCCTTCCTCCCTCCCTCCCTCCCTCCCCCCTCCCCCCTTCCCTCCCTCCTCCCTCCTCCTTCCTCCTTCCTTCCTTCCTTCCTTCCTTCCTTCCTTCCTCTCCTTCCTTCCTTCCTTCCTTCCTTCCTTCCTTCTTCCTTCCTTCCTTCCTTCCTTCCTTCCTTCCTTCCTTCCTTCCTTCCTCCTTCCTTCCTTCCTCCCTCCCTTCCTTCCTCCCTCCTTCCTTCCTCCCTCCTCCTTCCTCCCTCCTTTCCTTCCTTCCTTCCTTCCTTCCTCCTTCCTTCCTTCCTCCTCCTTCCTTCCTCCCTCCCTTCCTTCCTCCTCCCTCCCTCCCTCCTCCCTTCCTTCCTTCCTTCCTCCCTTCCTTCCTCCCTCCCTCCCTCCCTCCCTCCTCCCTCCCTCCTTCCTCCCTTCCTTCCTTCCTCCTTCCTTCCTCCTTCCTTCCTTCCTTCCTTCTTCCTTCCTTCCTTCCTTCCTTCCCTCCTCCCTCCCTCCCTCCTTCCTCCCTTCCCTTCCTTCCTTCCTTCCTTCCTTCCTTCCTTCCTTCCTTCCTTCCTTCCTTCCTTCCTTCCTTCCTTCCTCCCTTCCTTCCTTCCCTCCCTCCCTCCCTCCCTCCCTCCTCCCTCCTCCCTTCCTTCCTTCCTTCCCTCCTTCCCTTCCTTCCTTCCCTCCCTCCCCTCCCTCCCCCCTCCCTCCCTCCTCCCTTCCTTCCTTCCTTCCTTCCTTCCTTCCTTCCTTCCTTCCTTCCTCCCTCCCTCCCTCCCTCCTTCCTTCCTTCCTTCCTTCCTTCCTTCCTTCCTTCCTTCCTTCCTTCCTTCCTTCCTTCCTTCCTTCCTTCCTTCCTTCCTTCCTTCCTTCCTTCCTTCCTTCCTTCCTTCCTTCCTTCCTTCCTTCCTCACATAGCTACCAAGTGTCTGAGGCAGGATTCATTGCACTATTTAGCGGCCTAGGTACAGGCTGGATTGGGGAGACTGACCTTCTCAAGGTCACATAACAAACCCGGTGGCAGAGCTGGGCCCAGATCCCTTTTTTCTATTTCACGATGCTGAATTTAGTATATTAAGGGGTTTCCTTTCCCCTCCCCTACCTCCACCCTCATGGAAATATATTCCTGCTTTTAAAATAGAAGTCCACAGAATTCTCTTTATAGGCAGATTAGCTGAAATGGATCCATTCCATTAAACTAGTAATGCCTATTCTATTATTAGGGTAGCAATACTATAATAGTAACTTCTATAGTAGTACTATAAGTACTGTTCAAGTGTAGGAAATGCCAGTGTTTAAGGCAGAGGCCTGCAGCTTAGTCAGGGAGTGAGGAGCGTGAGAACTCCAGCCGCATCCCATTGGCCTGGGTGTGACCAGACGAGACTGGCCTTGCTCATCTCTCCACAAGGCTTCCCTTTCTGCTAGCCAGTTTTTTTGTGGTTCAGGGACAGGATACTCAGACCTCACATGTGTGACAAAATCTGCCCTGCTACTCCTGATTAATAGCTCATTCTTTCCATAGTGCGCTGGGGTCTATCCCTCCCTCCTCTCTTCCCCACCCCCCCCCCCAATTGCTTTTCATGGTCTCCAGAGGATTCAGAGGTTTCATAGCCAACAGGAAATCCTGAGATACTTTGTTGGAAGTTTTCTTTAAATGTCTGCTCAGGTCACTGAAAAGGTCTCTGAGGGTAATTGCTACCAGAAAACAATAGGAATACCAAAATGAGCAGGTCAGGTGCTCAGGTTCTAAAGAAAGACAGTCAGAAAAGAAACGAAACCCAAGTAACTCAGACCTGTCTCTTCTTTTGATGGCCCTTTTGTTGGCGAGGTGGGAGAATTTACATACGTGGGCGAGCTGTGGCACGTTCTCTCAGCCTGAAACCTGGAGAGGCAAAGGAAAGGGAAGGGGTGCCTAGCAGCAGGCTTGGGGAAAGTGCAGCCTTCATTGTCACGGAAAGAGCCCAGGCAAATGTGGGCAAGGGGGCTTGGTGATATATATTTTTAAAATTAATTCAGGGAGGAGATTTCAGTGATCTGCTGCTGCTGGACAGCGTCCTATCCCAGGCTAAATGTCCCACATTTCCAAACTTAGAGGATTCAAGATCCACAGTTGTTAGGTGGGATGGCAACTGTAACATTCATCCTGGAGGGGTGGGGGTGGATGTTGGCAAACAAGAGGTGACCTAGCATGTTTTTTAATATGTGTAGTTTGAACCCCAGACCAGGGTTCCAGAATCTCAGAGTTGGAAGGAAGTTCAGAGGCCATCTGGTCTCTTTTCCATCACTGGTGCCATTCATACTGTGTACTTGGAGATGTGTAGTGAAGGGCAGCCCATTGCACTTTGGACAATACTGATTGTTAGGAAGATATATTGACCAGATAGCTGCCTTTCTGAAGTTTCTACCTGTGACTCCAGTTTTGCCTTCTAGGCCCTTTAAATTTACTTCCTTTTTTATTTTTTTAGGCAATTGGGGCTAAGTAACTTGCCCATGGACACACAGTTAGTAAGTGTCAAGTGTTTGGTCTGAGGCCGCATTTGAACTCAGGTCCTCCTGACTTCAGGGCCGGTGCTCTATCCACCTAGCTGCCCTGTTTTACTTCCTTTTTAACGTGAGTTTTTCAGAGTCCTCAAAAGACAAATATCGTATCTTCCCCAGTTTCTTTTCCCTCTCCTTCTTCTTTCTCTCCTCCCTTTCAATTCCTCTTTCTCCCTTCCTTCCCCTCTCCCTTCTTCTCCCCCTTACTCTTTCCCTCCTTCCGTCCCCCTTCCTTCCTCTCACCCTCTCCCTTCCCCTCACTCTCTCTCTTCCTTTCTCCTTCGCATCCCTCTCTCTACCGTGTCCTCCTCTTTCTCCTTCCCACTTTCCCTCCGACTTCCTTCTTCCTTCCCCTCTCCTTTCTCTTTCCTAATCCCACTTCCTTCCTCTCTCTGAGGTTCACTTTCCCCTTGGTAAAATAGGGTGACAATTGTACTTTACTCATAGAGTTGTGAGGATCAAATGAAATAATGTATATGAATCCCTTTAAAAATCTCAAAACTCATTTTATTAAGTGTCAGCTATTAATATCCTAATTGTTATCCTTATTCAACCTGTCTTGGTATTATTCACAAGTGGAATGGGCTGCCTTTCTGGGGAGGTAGTTAGTTCCCACTCTTGGAGGGTTTTCCAGTGAAAGTTTGAAGGGCATTTGTCAGGTTTGTTGGACAGCAAATCCTTGTTCTGATTTGAGTTGGGCTCAATGACCTCTGAGGTCCATTCCAACCCTGAGATTCTGTGATTGGAATAGTCCCAGGTTTGTAGATAGGTTGGCTCTAAGTAGGAAAGGGCTTTAACTGATTAAGAAATGAATTGGTATTAGATCCTAGAGTTAATAGAAAACAAATTGAGGGGGCAGCTGAGTGGTGCAGTGGATAGCGCACTAGCCCTGGAGTCAGGAGGACCTGGGTTCAAATATGGCCTCACACACTTACTAGCTGGGCATTTTTTTTTTGTGGTAATCAAGATTAAGTGACCTGCCCAGGATCACACAGCTATAAGTGTCAAGTATCTGAGGATGGGTTTGAAGTCAGATCCTCCTGACTCTAGGGCCAGTGTTCTATCCACTGCACCACCTAGCTGCCTCTGGGATGATATAATGTAGCTTTTATTTTATTTTACTCACTTTTTCAGTTAACAAGCATTTGTTTTCTTTTCCTCCCTCTACTTGAAAAAAAAAGACTCTTTTCTTTCTTTTCTTTTCCATATTTTGAGGCAACCCTATGGCAAGACTCTTCTCCCTCCCTAATCTCCTGTCTGCCATTGGGCAAAAAAAAGAAAACCAAAACCCTTGTTTTGTACACACACATTTACATATATATGCATGTGTGTGTGTGTGTGTATGTGTGTATGTGTGTGTGTATATATATATATACATATATATATATATATATATATACATATATATATATCACATCATATATATGCATACACACACATACAAAACAAATTCCCTCATTGTCTACATTCAGAAATGTATATCTCATTCTGCATTTGGAGTCAGGTAGCATGTTTCATAATAAGTCCTCTGAAACGATACTTGGTCATTGCATTGATCAGAGTTCCTAAGCTTTTCACAGTTGTTTGCCTTTACAAGAGTATTATTATATAAATTATTCTCTTGGCTCTGCTCATGTCACTCTGCATAGGTTGAGACAAGTCTTTCTAGGTTTCTCTGAGACTGGCATTTTCACAATTACTTGTGATATGATAATATTCTATTACATTGATAAGTGATAATTTGTTCAGTCATTCTCACAATTGACAGGCACCTCTTTAGTTTCTGGTTGTTGCCACAATAAAAAAAAAAAAGCTGGCAGAAACCTTTTTGTACACATAGGTCCTTTTCCTCTTTCTTTGATCTTTTTTGGGATATAGGGCCTTGTAGTGGTCACTAGGTCAAAGGCTACACAGTTTGGTGATATGTTATCTCTAAAAAAAGTCAACTTTGTGTTTAGTTGACAGGTAATAACATTGTTTCCAGCAAAAACACATTTTGAGCATCTCAAGGGGGCAAAGTATCTCAAAACAGATGCTTTTCTTTAGGACATACGACAGAATTACTAGTAAGGGGAAAAATCAGATGAATAAGGGGAAAATAAAGCATTTTCAAATCTGCCACAGGCTAACTATATTTTCTCTAAGAGAACACATGTAGCATCTCTGAAATAAAGCCTATATACTTTCCCTCTGGTTCCACCATTTTTGGATCTACACTTCTGCTGTTAGGGGTGTGGGTCAATGAGGTAGGTTGGAAGGAATAGAGAAAGGAAAAGTTGAGGTGATGAGGACAGGCTAGTACACTGGTCCAAATCTAGTAGGATAAAATTTAATAGAGATAAATGCAAAGTTGTAATTCAGCTCAAGAAATCAAAGTCAGGATGAGGAAAGTATGAAAAGATAACAGTTTGTGTTCAAAAGATTCAAAAGCTTTAAGGAGCTGAAAATTCAGACAAGTCAATAATACGTGGCTTCTAAAAAAAAAAACACAGATGAAGAGAGAGGAATAGTATCCAGGACAAGGAATCATAGTTAGAACTGGAAGCTATCTTTGAGGGCATCTAATTTGACTATTTTTTTATGTCTCACTTTTGGACAACTCTATGCTATTATTATCTCCATTTTATAGGTAAGGAAACTAAGGCAAACAGAGATCAAGTAACTTACTCAGGTTATTTGTTGCTGTTGTTCATTTGTGTCTAACTCTACGTGTCCCCATTTAGGGTTTTCTTGGCAACAGTACTGGAGTGGTTTGTCATTTTCTTCTCCAGTTCATTTCTCAGATGAGGAAACTGAGGCAAATGAAGTGACTTGCCCCAGGGTCACACATCTAGTAAGTGTCTAAGACCAGGTTTGAACTCAGGAAGATGAGTCTTCCTGACTGCATGCCTGGTACTCTATACACTGTGCTACCTCAGGGAGAAAGTGTCTGAAGCTAGATTTGAACTCAGGTCTTCCTGATTTCAGGACCTGGGCTGTAATCTGGTATTATGAATTTGAATGTGGTTCTTGGAAAAATCCTAGGGATGTTCTAATGTGCGTCTTTCTCTGCAGTGGTGGGCAGGGATTATGGTGCAGAAGCTCATGAAAATTGTGGCGATGGACAGAACACAGCCTCTTTGGAGAAGGGCTGCCCTTCCCTGAAATGGAAGCCATATCAAGCTACCCCCTGGCACAGCTTACTGAACAGTCATTATGAAGAACTGTAAGTGTCCTTTGGGAAACTTTGTGATTCCCTACTGAAGCTGCTGAGCTGGAAACTGAAAGTGGAAGATTGTAAAGATTAGAAAAGCTCTCTTTTTAATCTGTTCCTGAGCAGTGAGATTGGAAAAAAATATTAACTCTGAACTCAAGTTGGAGCTCTACGCCCAGACTGAATTTCTAAATTTAAGCAGAGGTCATTGTTAAGATCTCAGATTTTTTTCCATTGGTTTGTTTTTCACCCGCCTGTCACGGCTAGACTGTGAACCATCTACATTTTAGCCAAGAATTTTCAGAACCAAGCCCATTGCACTTATCTAAATTTTAAATCTCTTCAAGGATTTAGCGTTGTTTTGCACACAGTAGGTGCTTAATCAATGCTTATTGAATAAATTAATGTTTAATAAATATTTGTAAATGAATGAAGGAACGGATTGAACTCTGAGGCCATTCTTGGTTGAGTAGTAAAATGTTCATTCCATCTCTAAGTTTTTTGGATCACTTGTTCTGAATAAAGATTTGGGCGTTTTAGCTATTGAATTAAACTTGATATGCATTGGCCATGTGATGTGGCAGCCAAAAAAAAAAAGGTAATTTGATCTTGTGGTGCATTAGGAGGGGCAGAAATCCCAGGAATTGGGAGGTGTTAGTCCCAGTCCACTCTGCCTGGGTCGCACTCCATTTGGACTATTGTGTTTATTTCTGAGCATCATAGTTAAAAGACATGGACAAATTGTAGAGTGTTCATAGCAGGGTAACTAAGATGATGAAAGGTCTTGAGTCTACACTGACCCCCCTTGTCCTTACACCAGCAGGAGGGAACAAAGAGTCTCCCTTCTACTCCAACCACGAACCCATTACCCACTTTCTCTTCCCCCAACTTGCCATGCAGACGTAGCTGCTCATTCTACTTGGATGATTAAGGAGTAACCTGTACTTTCATTTTTTCTTAAGGTCTATTATTGCATTTTTAAAAAAATAGTTTTTATTAATATTTTTTTTTGGTGAGGCTATCAGAGTGAAGTGACTTACCCAGGGTCACATAGCTAGTAAATATTAAGTGCCTGAGGTAATATTTGAACTCAAGTCCTTCTGACTCCAGGGCCAGTGCTCTATCCACTGCATCATCTAGCGGCCCCTGTTATTGCCTTTTTTTTTTTTTTAAATTTCAGATTCAATTCCCCTTAAACCTCCTATCCTGTCACAATTGGACCCACCCTTAAACAAAGACCCTTGCCTGATCTATAGAGAAAGTTGGTATTCTGACAGGGTTGGGGTTTTTCCAACAGGGTCAGGATACAGACCTTTCAATTTCAGCTCCTCCTTTAGGTTCAAGAGCCCATTTTTATCTTAAATATGTCCATCTGGCTTGTCACAGAGGTATTAGGAATCTTTAAAACACTCCAAAGCAATATAGCTAAGGCACTGAACAGAGATTTGCTTAAATTCTGCAGGCCTTATCCTGATTTTCTAAACCTTAAGTTCTAAGCTCACCTTTTGCAAATTCTGATGTACAAAGCTGAACTGCCATTCTTGTGCCAATAATGCTAATCTAGAGTCAGAAATAGCTATTTTTTCAGAACAATCATCAAAAATGTGGACTTTTAATAGTCCGAGAGCCACAATCTACTTTAGAGATTGCTTGGGCTGACACCCTCCCCCCCTCCTCTCCCTCTCCCGCCCCCATCTTTCAGAGGAGAAGATTGAGACCAGAGAAGTGATGAGTGTCTCAAAGTCATCCATATTATAACTGACAGAGCCAGGATTGAACCCAGGCCTTTGGTGTTCCCTCCACTCTCCTATGTCCAATACTCCTTCTACTAGACTAAATCCATCCCTCCTTCCTCTCTGCTGTGAAGCCTTTACCATGCTCTTTGGAAACTTTCCTTTAAATCAGATCAGTTCTGTCATTTTCATTTCCTTGATGGAAAAGTACTAATTAAGGTTATCCCAAAGGGATTTTTCTTGATTCAAGTCACTAAGAATGCTTTTATGAAAACTATACAATCCAATGCCCCTAGTCTTAAAGTGAACAAATGAACAGATTAGTTCAGAAAACCTGAGTCAATAGAAAGTTCCCAGATGATGTAAGACAAGTCTTCATTATCATTCCTTTCATTGATGGATTTTTCTTCCTCTGGTTTCTACTATAATTACATCTCCTCATAACGATCTGCTAAGGTTACTCAATGGATCTGGGATTAGAAACATTTGATAGCGTAGGTATACTTTTTATTTTTTTTTTGCCAAGGATGTTCAAACACTTTCTTCCCAAGAAATCTGTTAAAGTTTTCTTCTTTTGAGTTACAGAGAAAAACATTTTTTAAAAACCCTTCAATTTCTTCCCTGTTAAAGAATTTTTAAATGGACTTTATAAATCACAATACCTAAAATATACTAGGCACTTAAATGTTTGTTGAGCTAATTCGAATCAATTAGACACTGGCCTTCTTGCTGTTCCTCCCACAAGACACTCCATTTCCAGACTGGAGATTTCCCATGTCTCTTGTGCCTGGAATGTTCTCTCTCATTTCTGCCTTCTCACTTCCCTGGCTTCCTTCAAGTCTCAGCTAAATTCCTATGGTCTATGAGAAGCCTTTCCCAGTCCTTCTTAATCTTAGTGTCTTCCCTCTGAGACTACCCCCAATTTATCCTTTAGACATCTTGTTTGTAGATTGTCATTCCTATTAGACTGTGAGCTCCTTGAAGGCAGGGACTTTTTTTTAAACCTTTCTTTGTATCTTCTGCTCGTAGTGTAGTAGCCTGGCACATAGTAAATACTTAATAAATGCTTGTGGACTTGACTTGAATCACTTAGACCAATATTTTCATTTTTACAGATGAGGGCCAGAAAGGCAAAGTATCATACTCAAGTTACTAACTTAATGGCAGAGCCAGGATTAGAACTTAGGACTCTTGACTACCAGTTCTGCACTCTTTTTTTCTTTGTAAGGTTTATTATTATCTTTTGTTTTTATATCAGATTCAATTTCCCTTAAACCTGTCATCCCACAATTATTGAACCCTCCTTTGTAACAAAGAATAATCAACAAGCTTTATTAAGTGCCTCCTGTGACCTAAGTATCGATGATAACAAAGACAAAAAAGAGACAATCGTTCAAGTCACAAATGGCTACAAAATTGTAAACCCAAGTGATTGGAAAGATAATAGTACCCTTGACAGAAGGAGGGAAGTTCCGTAGAGGGTCAAGTTTTGAGAGAAAGATATTGAGTTCTGCCTTAGACACAATGAGTTTGAGATGCCTATTGTACATACGGTTGGAAATGTCCAATAGGAAGTTGGTGGTATAGGACTGGAGCTCTGGAGGGAATTTAGGTCTACATAGGTAGAGCTGGGAGTCATTTGCATGGTTAGTTACACTTAAGGGAACTGATGAATTTACCAACAAAAAGAATGCCCCAGGACAAAACCTTTGTGAACATCCGTAGTTAGAGGATATTCAATAGATTATAGGTCATACAGGTAGAAAGAGAACCAAGGATGTTATGAATCCAGAGAGAAGGAGAAAGCAGTCAACAGCATCAAATGTTGCAGAGAGCTTAAAAAAGATGAGGATCAGGAAAAAGAAATTAACAAAGATTACTTTTATCAGCATCTACCATACTCTGCATATGTAGGCACTCGCTTTTCTACTGAGAGGAAGGAACTAAGTTTTGGTTGTCAGGGCCTTATGAGATTGGTCATTACAGTTAATTAGAATTTGGCTGCCTCTTAATCTTTTTTCTTATTTATGTTGTTGTGGACATTTTGCATATTGTTTTCCTTGTTAGGATTACTTTGCTCCACACGAGTTTATACAAAAGGGAAGCCATACTAATCTGAGCCCTTCATCTTCATCATTCTAATGGCCTAATAATATTCTGTGATATTCGGGGGCCACCATTTATTTAGTTATTTCCCCCAATGGGCATTCACTTTGTGTGCAGTTCTCTATTATCACAAAAAGTGTGGCTATGAATGTTTTGGTATATGTGGTAATTTTTGTACTGTCTTTGACCTCCTCAGGGCATATGCCATATAGTGGGATCGCTAGGCCAAAAGTCATGAACAATTCAAAGACTTTTATCAGCCAGGGCTCTTTCCATTACAGTTTATTGAGATGTTCACCCATTCTGCAAGGGGGTACATGGTGATAGAGAATATATAAAAAGAGGAAGAAGCTGGTATTCTAAAGCAGAACTAGCATTGCATAGCCACATGAAAGTAAGAACCATACCACTGAATAGCACAATGGAAAGACCATCATATTTGGAGTCAGAAGACCTAGGTTCAAATTCTTTTTTTTTTTTTGCTAGGCAGTGGGGTTAAGTGACTTGCCCAGGGTCACACAGCTAGTAAGTGTTATATGTCTGAGGCCGGATTTGAACTCAGGTCCTCCTGAATCCAGGGCCAGTGCTTTATCCACTGTGCCACCTAACTGCCCCTCCTAGGTTCAAATTCTGACTGCCATTTGCCCACCTGGGCAAATTATCTTATCTCTCTGGGTCTGTTTCCTCTACTATAAATTAAGGGGGTTGGATTAGATGGTCTCTAGGTTACTTTCCAGCTTTATGATCCTTTGAGTATGGGAAAAACTACCAAAGGGATTTCACTATCTTTAAATTCTCTCCTACCCTTGGTGTAGAGCTACAATATGTAATTGTAGATATTTGCTAGATATGAACTGATGATGGAGAAGATGAAAAAGATTTTAGAGTGAGGATTCTCTAGTGAGAAAGGGAATTCAGTAAATGGTATGGATAAACCCATTCCATTTCAAGCTATTCTTGGCAAGATTCACTTCTGAAGACTGCCTTTTTTCATTTACACATCAGTATGCCCAAGTGATTTCTTGTTGTTTGAGCTTGGGGTCTTGGGCGAAATTTAGGGGCGTTCTTTTTCAGATGGAAAGAAATAAATTCACCTCGCGTGGCTGCGTTCTGCAGCGAGCTTTAACTTCCAGCCTCCATGTGGGGCTCGATTGTGTGGGTGTCAACTCACAACTAACTCAGCTCAACTCAGCAAGCATTTATTCAGCGTGTAGAATGTACAAAGGGCACTGAAAATAGCAGCTAACCATATTTTCACTTTGGCTTGGGCTACACTTTTTGGCTCTAAGAAGGTAAAAAGCAAACATGGACTTCTGCCAGCTGTGACTTGAGGGATCATTTTCATTTCCTCAGGGGGAAAGAATTAAATTAATTAAATATAGCAAAGGGTAATTCTCAAAATATTTTTAAAAAATGCTTTTTGTTGTTTTTAACTGATATTGTTAGGGAAATGAAATGTGGAAGAAATATTTCCCCAACTGTTCTCTTGCCTCTTCTTTGTCCTAGCCCCGATGTAGGCTACAGTGTGGTCACAGACAAAGGATTTAATTTCTCTGTGGCAGATGAGGCTTTTGTTTGTCAGAAGAAGAATCATTTCCAGATCACCGTCCACATCCAGGTTTGGGGCAATCCACAGTTTGTCAAAACCCAATTGGGGCTAAAGCCGATAGAAATGTTTTACTTGAAAGCTTTTGGAGTCAAGGTGAGTTTTCTCTTATTAGCCACCCTTAATAAAAAGGTATCATCTGTGTATTTGAATGGACTTTGTTGACACTAAACATATGTAATATATTTTAAGTCTGGTCCCACTGACTGAAAGACAAGGCTGTTCATTTTATCCTCCCCCTCACTTCTCTGGTATCCTGACAGGGTTGAGGAGTCCGTTTGCCTGCCATGGGCATAGCCTCCACTAATTGGGTTCCAGTCATTTTTAGGAGCCCAATGATTAGCAGCTCAGGTCCATTTAACCATTTAATAATCAATAAACATCAGATTGGCTTCGAAAAGGAATTTACTTCAAAGATAAAGAATAAACATATAAACACCCCCCCAACTCCTTGGGGGCATACTCCCTCTATACTACTTCAGTCTTTAGGGATTGGAAATGGATTAGACTCACAGTTTGGCATCCTGGGCCATCTCCAGTCATCCTGATGAATATCTGGCCACTGGACCCAAATGGCTCTGGAGGAGAAAGTGAGGCTGGTGACCTTGCACAGTTCTCCCTTACTCAAATAAAAGTCAATTGCAAGTCATGTCATCATCTCCCTGATGCCATGGTTGTTTTGGAGAATGAAGGACAAACATAACACAAGGCTCAAAGTTTAACTCAGTTCCTACATAGCAATGGTCCCACTGAATTCCAGCTAAAAGCCCCACTGGATTGAAATCCAGGACCCTTGCTTTTTAGGGGCTTTACTCCTGGGATGGTTGCAACACCTGGCTTGGATTCCTGGGTTCTTAGATCCCGATTCTCATGCTCTTAGACCAGAGGCTCCCCTCCCTGCACCTAGAATAGAAAAGACAAAGAAAAAAAATGAAAACTTAATTCTCAGGGCCACATGGTTGCTCCCCCTCCCATAATTCTAACCATCATCTCTGTTTCAAAACTCTAGCATTACTGTTATATCTCAAAAGCTCTGCTCCCATATTCCAGTTTGACAAGGATTTATTAAGTGCTTACTCTATACAGGGCACTATGCTAGGTACCCTCAACTGAACATGCTGGCCACTTATGCTGATTTGTTTTAATGTTGCCACAGATTCAATAAGTGTGTTTAAAGTCAAGCTCACTGGGGGCAGCTAGGTGGTGCAGTGGATACAGCACGGACCCTAAAGTCAGGAGGAACTAAATTCAAATCCAGATTCAGACACTTACTAGCTGTGTGACTCTGGGCAAGTCATTTAACACCTAAAACAAAAAATAAAATCAAACTCCTCATTTGATCCACAAAACCAGTCAGTCCTCCTGAGTTCCTGTGTCTATTAATGGTCCAATCATTTTCTTTGTCATCCTGTCCCAATGCCATCTTTGGCTCTTCCATTTTGTATACCCTGCTTCCATACCTTGGCTTTACCAAGTCGTCTTCCTTTTAGCTTTCTTTGTAGCCATGACTTCCCTTCCATTTCCATCACCACCACCCTAGCTCATAACCTCACACTTCAGTTACTGCAATAGGTTCTTAATTAGTCTCTCTGCTTCTATGTCTCCTCTTTCTTCAGTTGGGTTCTGTATACCATTGCCCGATTCCCAACTATGGAGTTCACTCATGTCATTTCCCTGCTTAAAAATCTTTAAAGGACTCCCAGTTTTCTCTAGAAGGGCTATTTACAGTCCTTTACAATTTGGCCCCTTTCTACCATTTCAGCTTCATCTTCCTCTATTTCCCTTCCTGAACTCTCTAATGCAGCTAAACTGATTTACTCAACTAATCCTCAAATATCCTTTCCATACCTTTGCTCACTTTTCCTTAGCTCCACCCAAGGCCTTGCCATTTAAATCTACCATTGTTATTTAACTTTTCATGTATTTGTTTCTTTTCTCAACAAGGAGAATGTAAGTTCTTTGCAGGTAGAGATTATTTTTGTTTCTGCCTTAGTATCCCCAAAGTGCCATGCTCATAGAAAATCCTTAATAAATGATAATTGAATTTATTTGAGTAACTAGATGGTGACTTGGTGTTTTTCCCATAGTGTCTGGCATATAATAAATACTGAATAATTATTTGTTGATTGGATTGGAAACTTATTTGAAAAATTTCTAGGTATTGACATATTCTATAGCATTAACTTTTGGGTCTTCCATACAGGTAGAGGCCACCAATCAGATAGTTGCTATTGAACAATCTCAATCAGATCGAAGCAAAAGGATTTTCAATCCCTACAAGTAAGAGGTCCCTTCTACTCTCCCTCCAATGTTTTCTATGAGCAGTTCAGGAATAAAGCCTGTCTGTCAGTCTTTTATTGGCAATTCAAAGAGAAATCCGCTGGGAAGTCTGATTTGAAGTGATGGAAAATGTAAATGCTGCAAACACATGTTTGTCAACAAAACAATGTTCATAAAAATGCATTGAAATTCTGGAGGGGAAGCATTATAGAAAGCTGTTCTGTATTACTGTTATTTTTATACTCATTTTGCTGTGGGCTTTGGCTCCTTAAGATAGATGGCAGTCAGATTTTTCATTTTCATTTTCATCATTAACATGCTGACAGAGTTAATTTCAGAATTTGGAATGCCTGCTGTGCTTACGATTCAGACTTATTACTTTTTTTGCAAATGCTGTTGTTGAGAGGGCATTGGAAGGGCTCCCACTCAGAAAACACACAGGGCTGATACCAAGCGAGGCAGACCACAGACTCCATCTGAAGGAGGAATGACTTAGGGTTGGACTTGACTTTTTGACCTATTTGATATGAAGAGAGTTGGGCTATTTTATTTATTGATAATAAGCTGTGCCCAGGGCCTGAATTTGCAAGCACCTTATCCTGATATACAAGTAGGATAATGCCACAGCATGCCAGTGTAGCTGGTACTTGAATACACCTGATTTCTCATAGTAGCAGAAAAGAAATCTGATACAGAATTTGATCTCATCTTGCTGCCTCATTAGGGCAGGATTTCATGTAATATTGGATTAGGAGAAACTAAATGGGAGATGAAGCTGCGAAGACCCTTAAGAGAAGTCTAAAAGTAGCACCTCAGGACACTTTCCCTTCTTCCCCCATGTCCTGCTCACAGGACAGGTCCACCAGACAATGACAACTCTAGGTTTAAGGTATTTTGAGGACCTATATGGTAGGACTATCATGATATAGATGGCTTAGTGGACAGAGCGCTGGGCCTAGAGTCAGGAAGACCTGAGTTCAAATCTGACCTCAGACACTTACTAGCTGTGTGACCCTTGGCAAGTCATTTAACTCAGTTTCCTCATCTGTAAAATGAGCTGGAGAAGAAAATGGCAAACCGCTCCAGAATATTTGCCAAGAAAACCCTAAATGGGGTCATGAAGAATTGGACACGACTGAAAATGATTAAGCAAAAACAACATATTCATGAGATGTGTTTACCTTTCATATAGAGTATGAAGAGAACACTATTAGTTTGAAGCAATGGAGTCAAATAAAATAACATATTAAGGAAAGTTATAATAAAACATTTCCCCCATAAACCTGGGGCATCCTGTCCCCAAAAATACACACACCATCAGAGGGAAGAGTGGGCATACATGGATAGGCACACATATACGGAATATATTTGTTAGGAAACACATGTTAGGAACATGTGGGATCAGAGTTCATATGTAGAGGATTTTAGCTGAAAACCTGGGGTATCTCCTTATAAGGAGAGTGGGCTTTTTCATTTAAAACATGACACTTTAAGAATTGCTCTTTTAGAAAAAGCATTTGCCTTAGACTAGCAAAACCAAAACAAACCAAAACAAAACTTTCCTTGTGGGAGGAGAGGAGGGATTTTTAGTTTTAGTTTTTTTCCCCCTCTTTTGCCATAACTTGTCTGGTTCCTGTCAGAATCTTGACCACTAAGTCACTAATCTCCAATAGGAGATTCTTAACCCTAGGCCAGCTTCTCTAGAACAAAGAACTTGACTCTCCCAGCTAGCTAATGCCCTGGGGTTTGTTTAATCTTTCTTTGAACTGAACTTCTTGGTTGCTGGGCTCAGAGTGTCCAAGGATGATCTCAGTCTGGTTCAGGGGTTCTTAATCTTTTTTTCTTTCATGGACCCATTTGGCAGCCTCATGAGCCTCTGGACCCTTTCACAGAATAATATTTTCAAATGCATAAAATAAAATCCATTGGATTACAGAGGAAATCAATTATATTGAAAATCAGTTATCCAAATACTCAAAAAATAAGTTTTCATACTTTAGGTTAAGAACCTTTGCTCTGGGTCAGGGTGATCATTCTCCATGCTTCCATATTCTCTAGAGGACAGACTATTACAGAAGCCATGTAAGGGTAATTTGCCCCAGAACCTCTTCTGTTCTCTCATGGAGACAAGTGGGTAGGGAAAAAAAAATTCACCTCAAGGTAGCAGAACCCAAGAGGCCAGGTCTTTGTCTCTTCTGCCTTCCTGGCCACATTCCTGGCCTTTCATGTGTAAATACTGCCAGTCAAAGCCCTTTAAAGGGGCATTGAGCTCACCTTTATGTCAAGAAAACCCTTTACTCTAGAGAAGAGTGTCACAGCAAACTAAGCCAGGGTAGAATAAAGGGGATTTCTGTTTCCCTCAGAGTCTTAAGGAAAACTGCATTTTTGCTCATAGAGGTGGCTGCATGAACAGTCAGAGATGTCCTAAGAGGCAACTCCTGTTCAGATGGCCATTACTTGGTTGAAGAGTGTGCCAGTTCCCTCTCTCTCTCACCAGTGAATTGCTGATCTACTCTGAATCAGTAATGGGAGACTGAGGAGAGCCTGGGAATCTTAATAAGATGGAACCAAAGATAGTGGAAAGGGTGCTGGATTTTGGAGTCAGAGGACCTGACCACAGATTAAAATCCAGGGTCACACAGCTAGTAAATGTCCGAGGCCAGATTTGAACTCAGGTCCTCCTAGCTCCATCATCTGCTACCTTGGGGTTGGGTGTTTTTTAATTTTTATTAATTTGACATAAGTGGAGTTGGGCTATCTTATCCTTTGGTAGTGAATGGTCCCCAGGGTCGATGAGGTCTGCATCCTCTTTCACCAGAAAGATGGCAAAGTCAGTCTATGTCTGAATTTGACAGCATCTCATCTGATGGACAAGTGGGATTATGCCAGTTCTACTAGTACTTGGGCACACCTGGCTCCTCATGTTTGTAGAATAATCTGGTATAGAATGAGCAAATCCTTTAACAGCCTCTATTTGCCTCTGTTTTTTCTTTCTTTCTGTAAAATGAAGAAGTTGGATTAGATTGTCTCTTCTAGCTCTAAATCCATTATCACATCAATATTTTATATATATGCACATATGTAATATTTTTATCTCTTCTGTTTGCTTTAGAATTGATCTACCAGGAGATCAAGTAACCAAAGTAACTCTGGGAAGATTACATTTCAGTGAGACAACAGCCAATAATATGAGAAAGAAGGGAAAGCCCAACCCTGACCAGAGGTACTAAGTGTCAGCATGTGGGAATCATTGACTATCCGTGGGGCTACTGTTGAAATAGCTGAGCATTTCACAAGAGCTTTGCCAAAAAATCCATTACATCAAACTTGGCCCGTTTCTTTGTAGCTCAGTCTCATGGGTTGAAGACAGGGTTATGAGTCTTTTAAGTTAGTATCTGAGGGTTACTTTGAAAAAAACTATTTTTTTCCAATTAACAATACATTTATTTTCTCTCCCTCCCTACACTGGAAAAGCAAACAAAACCCTCATAATAAATGTGCATAGTCAAGTAAAACAAACACTTGTGTTGGTACTATCCAAAAAAGTATGTCTCCTGTGTATTTAGTACATCATTGCGGTTACTGTTGACACTCCCATTGGGAGCACCCTGGACCTCCAGGAGCCATTTCCCCTTCTTTCTCTAAATCTACCAGCTCCTATCCTCAGCCTGTTTCATTTGCAGTCTACTCTTCTGCCCCACATCCCAATTCCTTCTCCCCCAAGATGTAGCTTCTATTTTCTGATGGTACTGGATCTTGTTTTCAGAGTAGAGAGAGAAGGCACATGGCTAAACTGGAATTGCATCACATGGGGCTGCTTTGTAAACAACGTGTAACGTGTAAACAACGTGTAACGTGTAAACAACCCGCTATCAAAATGTTTTTGGTCATGGACCTCTTTTGTAGGCATATTTTTTTGTGTGAAATAATCTGGGAAGAAATGATAGATTTTTGTCAAGGTCTATTTTGTAGGAAATAATAAACAACTGAATCCCTGGAAGGGTTTACTAAGCTGGAGAGGCTTTGGATACAGGCCTGGCACCAGAACTGTGTCTGTAGTCTGAAGTCTTGTCTAGTTAAGTTTAGAGACATGCATTCCCTAAGGAGAAAGCTAGCCCCTGGGAGATGAATGTTTTTGGCCATAGCAGCTCAAGAAGCCATCTACTAAGACATTGGAGGGATTTCAATCTGTTTTTGGTGGGGGAAAAAAAAACACTACATAGAACCAAGGATATTTTAGCATAGCGAAGTCAGCTTTTTATTTTTATTTTGCTAAGCCTTCTGATTCCCTAGGCTCTTAGGCTGCATTTATTTATTTATTATTTTATTTTAAGTTCTGAGTTATTTCCCTCCTTCTTCCCTCTCCCTCACCCGCTGAGAAGGCAAGAAAAACAAAGCATTGGAGATATATATATAGTCATGCAAAAGAAATTCCTGTATTAACCATGTCCAAGAAAAAAAAGGAAGAAAAAAAAGAAAATAAACTTAATTGCACTCTACCAGTCCATCAGTTCACTATCTGGAGGTGGATAGCACGTTTGATCCTGAGTCCTTGGGAATTGTGATTGGTCATTGTATTGATCAGAATTCCTAAGTCTTTCAAAACTGATTATCTTTACAATATTGTTGTTATCCTATAAATTGTTCTCCTGGTTCTGTTCACTTCATTTTACATCAGTTCATATAAGTCTTCTCAGTTTCTCTATTTCACCATTTCTTATACTACAATAGCATTACATCACATTCATGTACCATAAACGACTCGGGCTGCATTTAGAGAGACATTGAGTATGGGACTAGGGAGGTGATAATCTACTGTTCTCTGCTCTGGTCAGATGGCAAGCAAAATATCGTGTTCATTTCTGGATACCATATTTTAGAAAGAACATTGCTAAATTGACAAATGTCCAGAGTAGGGAGCCTTGTATGGTGAAGACCCTTGAGATCATGGCATATGAGGATTAATTGAAGGAATTGGGTTATTTAGTTTGGAAAAGAAAAGACTTAGGGAGGAACTGATAGCTGTCTAAAAGTATTTAAAAGGTTGTCAAATAGAAAAAAAAGAGTTAGGATTGATCTGCTTGACTCTAAAGGAAAAAACTAGGAATATTTGGTGAATGTTGTAAAGGGGCTAGTTTAGATTTAGCATAAAGAACAACTTCCTAAAATTAGTGTTATCAGAACATATTAATGACAAAAATAATAAAAATCTCATGAGTGTGTCAAAAGATGCTGAAAAAGCTTTTTGATAAAATTCAATATCCCTTTCTTTAAAAAAAAATCTAAAAAGCAAAGGAATAAATAGACCTCTCCTTAATATGGTAAACGGTATCTAGCTAAAATCAAGACCTAACATTTTTTGTAATGGCTATTTATTATTGTCACAATTACTTGACATAGTGCTATAAATACTATCTACAGCAATAAGAAAGGAAAAATAAATTGAGGGCATTAGCATAGGCAAAAATAAAATTATCACTCTTTGCAGATGATATGATGGTCTATATAGAGAACTCTAAAGAAGAAAATTTCAAATAATTAGCAACCAACAAAGTTTCAGAATACAAAAGAAACCCACACAAATCAGTAGCATTTCTGAATATTACCAACAAAATCCATCAGGAAGAGATAGAAAGAGAAAGTCCATTCAAAATCACTATGGAATTTATACAATATTTGAGAGTCTACCTACCAAAATACACATAGGAATTATATGAATATAACTATAAATATTTGTTACAGAAATAAAGACAGACCTAAATAATTGGAGATTTATTAACTACTCATGCTTAGGTCATGCCAATGTAATAAAAATGAGAATAAAACCCAAATTAATTTACTTTTCAGTGTCATGCCAATCAAACTTCCAAAGAATTATTTTATAGAATTAGAAAAAAATAACAAAATTTATTTGAAGGAGCAAATAGTTAAGAATCCCAAGAGAAATACTGGAAAAAATGGGAAACAAGGGGACCTGGTTATATTGGTTCTCATGTTAAAAAGCAGCAATAATCAAAACTATTTGTTACTGGTTAAAAAATAGAGGGGTTAATGGAACCGAGAAGCAAATAAACATAGTAGAATAGAACCAATTAAACCTAAAGACCCAAGCTACTGAAGAAAGGACTCACTATTTGATAAAAAAAACTTCTGGGAAAATTGGAAAGTAGTCTGGTAGAAATTTGCTTTTGATCAACATCTAACTCTGAATGCCAATATAAACTTTAAATGAATGCATTATTTGGATATAATAGATCATATCATAAACAAATTGGAAGTGCAAGCAAGGAAATGCCTTTTGCAAGTATGGATGGGGGAAGAGCTCATGACCAAGCAAGGGATAGAGAAGATCATACAATATATAATGGACAATTTTGATTACATAAAAGTTTTTGTACAAACAAAATTAATATAGGTAAAATTAGAAGTAAAAATTAAGTGAAAAATATACTCTTTGCAACAAATACCTCTCATACTGTTCTCCTATCTAAGCTATAACAAGGATTATTTCAAACGTATAAGAACAAGAACCATTTCCCAATAGATGAATGGTCAAAGGACATGAACAGGGAGTTCTCAAAAGAAAAATTCCAAATTATTATCTGCCATATGAAAAAATGTCCCAAGTCACTAATAATTAGAAAAATGCAAATCAAAGGAATTCCGAGGGTTCTGCCTCACATCCATCTGATTGGCAAAGATGACAGTTTTTTCTTTTTAAATAGTATTTTATTTTTTCCAATTACTTGTAAGGACAACTTTTAATATTCATTTTCAAAAAATTTTGAGTTCCAATTTTCTTCCATCCTCCCTCACCTTCCCTTTCCCCAAGATGATAAGCAATTTGATATAGGTTTTAAATACATACCTACATATATATATATATATATATATATATATATATATATATATATATATATGTGTGTGTGTGTATATATATATATACATATGTATATATATATACATATGTATATATATATATACATATGTATATATATATATATATATACATATACACACACATATGCAATCACGTAAAACATATTTATATATTAGTCATGTTGTAAAAGAAGAAACAGGCCCCCAGAAAACATGAAAAAATAAAGAAAGTGAAAATAGTATGCTTCAATCTACATTCAGACTCCATCAGTTCTTTCTCTGGCTCTGGATAGCCTTTTCCATCACGAATGCTTTGGCATTGTCTTGGATCATATTGTGGAGAAGAGCTAAATCATTCATAGTTGACTGTTACACCATGTTGCTGATACTGTGTACAGTTTTCCTGTTCTCTTACTTCACTTTGCATCAGTTTGTGTAAGTCTTTCCAGGTTTTTCTGAAATCCTCTTGCCTGTCTTTTCTTATAGCACAATAGTATCCTATTCCATTTATATGCCACAATTTGTCCAGCCATTTCCCAATTGATGGACATCTTAATATCCAATTTGCAATTTTACCATCACAAAAAGAGCTTCTATAAATATTTTTGTACATGTAGGTCTTTTCCCCTTTTTTATGATCTCTTTGGGATACAGACCTAGTAGTGGTATTGCTGTCAATGACAAATTTTTCTTAAAAGATAGTTGTTCCAGAAGCTGTGGGAAAATAAATACACTAATACATTGCTGGTGGGACTATGAATTTGTCTAGATGTTTTGGAATGCAGTTTGGAACCATGCCTCAGAAGCCATTAAACTATGTGTACACTTTGACCCAGCAATATTACTGCTAGGCTTATTAACTCTCCAAAGATAACAAAGAAAGGACTCATGTGTACAAAAATATTTATAGCCAATCTGTATAGCAATTAACTGGAAAGAAACTAAGGGGATGTCCATCAGATAGAGAGTGGTTGGATAAATGATAGTGTATGAATTAATGGTGTAATGTTATTGGACTGTGAGAAATGACAAGAGAAATGGCTTTAAAGAAACCTGGAAGTTTTGTATGAACTGATCTAGAGTGAAACGATCAGAACCAGGAGAACAGTTTATAAAATAATAAAACTATAAAGAAAAACAACTTAGAAATACTCAAGAACTATGTTAAATGAAATGACAAATCATGTTTCCAGACGGCTGATGTTGAAACATGCTCTTCCCCACCCCTCCTCACAAGTGATGGACTGAAAGTGTAGAATGAAATCTACATTTTTGGACACAACTTATGTAGGGATTTGTTTTGCTTCGTTACGTGTATTTATTACAAGGGCTGAGTTTTTCTCTTTTTTATGGGGGCTAGGGCTTTGGAAGTTATAGAGTTGCCCCTCAAAAAAAGAAAAAGAAAAGAGAAAATTCATTGAAGTATTTTTAAAAAATTTCACAAAAGAGAATAGAAGAAAGGACAAAAAGAAATATACAAGGTGGACAACTTGAAAAGTGACATGTTGAATTTATTGTATACTTAAAAATTAAAGCAAATATATATAAAATAGTGATTCTTATTTTCATGTACAATCTTTTGTCTATTCTACTTTGTATATAGAAATGCTTATTTTATTTGATGTTAAATTCAGAATTTAAAAAATTTAAAAAACCCAAACAATTAATGCTATCCCAAAGTGGAATGGGTTGTCTTGAAAGTAGCAGGTTCCCCCTCACCTAAGATGTCCAAGAAAAGCCTGGATGAACATTTGTTTAGTATGTTTAGGGGGGTTATTAGTCAAATATTGGTTAGACAAGATAGCCTCTGAGGTCAACTTTCAACTTCCTCTGTTAGCCCATCCTACTGTTAGATACTTCATCATGAGGAAGTGTTCAACAGTGGAATAGTCTTTCTTTATATTAACTTGAAATACACTTCTCTTCAACTCTTGCCCACTGGTCTCAGTTCTGTCCTCTGTAACCAAGCAGAAATCAAATCCCGCTATGTCATGGTAGAATTTCAAATATCTGAACACTGCTATCTTCTGTTGCCCTCTCCCCTGCCCCCATGTCTTCTCTTCCCCAGGCTCAACATTCCTATTTCCTTCCACTGATCTTTATGTGGCATGGTTTCTGTCTTCTCATTGTTTTAGCAAACCGCACCTGTATGTTCTCAGTGTGTCACTCTTCTGAAAAGTGGCAATCACAACTGAGCATGATAATCTAGAATAGATGTGGTCTAACCAGGAGAGAATAATGGGGCTGTCATTTCTCTTATTATCTCTTTGAGTTGGCTTACACAATATTATATGTAATCATTATAATATATAATCATTATATAAATAATGATTAATAATAGTACTTATACTAAATTTGCATGACATATATGTTTAAACCAAAGAGGAAGAGATAAAGTAAACCATGGAAGGGAAAGGAAAATCCTCATCCCCACTGATGAAGATGGCCTTGGGGAAGATGGTGTGGAAAATTAACAACTTGGATTCTAGTATTGAAGAAGAAGTGGTGGTAGGAAAGGCATAAGACACTTTGACAGGAGCTGGTCCAGTGCTGGGGGAAGAGCCAGACCTACGTGGGATGTTTTTAATTTTTCACGTGGTGAGGACAATAGCGTGTCTTGGTACACTGATTGAGAAGCAGTGGACTAGGTGTATTCTGTCCTGAACAGCTAACAAATAAGAAATAACACATGCATGGAGGTGTCCTCAAGCCCAAACTGAGGACCAGAACATGGGTTCCATTTATGCAAATGATCTGACTTGTATCAAATGAGATAATATTTTTTAAAGCACTTAGCACATTGCCTGGCACATAATAAATGCTTATTTTCTTCCTTCCTTGTACCAAGGGCTAATGGAGAGTGATAATAGATGAATCAATTATTATATTTTTTCACAGTAGAGAGAATTTTGCCCTTTGGAAGAAATGAAGGGATGCCAGTATAGAGTGGCATATCATGGGACGAATTATTTGTGTTTCAGATGAAGTTATATTTGAATTTCTCTCATGTTTATACTATTTCCTAACTAGGTATTTTATGCTGGTGATTGGGCTCTATGCTGCTAGTCAAGACCAGCTCTACTTACTGACTGCTCACATCTCTGAGAGGATAATTGTCAGGGTAGGTACAACACCTTCACTCTCCTTCAGGCTACAGCTCCTGAGTCTCTGCTTCTTTTTGCTCCCAAGAGGAAATCTAGTATTTTCCACCTATGGTTACTCGGAAAATTAACATTCAAGGAAATTTTATAAGAGTTATATTGAGGAAGAGAGAAAGTGTGTCATAGACCATGGGGGGCTGACCTGGGAATTGTCCTACCTTAACAATGAATAGCTATGTGACCAGAGTAAAATCATTTCACCTCTTACTGCTCCAGGAAATGTTCTGAGACTCCAAGTTATGGAAGAGTTGCCCACTTGCTTTAGGGGAAAGAGTTCCACAAGGTGAGTTTCCTCCACACCAATGAAATCTCATGCCTAGACCAAAAAAAAATACGCTGAGTCTAGACCGTCAAAGGAAACTTATAAATAGGAAACGTAGCATGGCAGAGTACTGGTTTTGGAGTCAGGAAGATCTAAGTTAGAATCCTACTTCTTGCACTCACTACATTGTGACCAAGGGCAAGTCACTCAATTGCTTTCAGTCTCAGCTCCCTAGTCTGTAAAATGGGAATAATAATATGTTGAGGTAGCTACCTCAAAGAGTAGCTAAAGTGCTTCACGAATTTTAAAAGTGCTGGTAAGTTTAACACAAACACTCTGGTCTCACTCTCTCAGGTCCAGGAGGGCAATATCTCCCCTCACCATGCTAGAGTACCCTGAGGGCTTAGGGCAGTGGTGTGCTGGTCATGTTTAGCATCTGGCTCTCTGGAAAAAAAAAATTGCATGACACAAATTCAATCTGCATTATCAACATTTTCTTTATCATCTTAAGTTTAGAAATCAATAAAGCAATAAATCAATCCCTTTTTGTAGTATTTGCCAATTTCCAGGTTGAAAATGTTCACAATGAAAATTTAAATCAGCTCTTGAGAGCTAGATTGAGCTGACTGCTACAGACACTTGAGTTAGGGTATCTTTTTGCTATTACTATCAATTAGCTCAAGCCCCCATTAGAAGTGCCCCCCTACTGGTAGGAACGTAGCATCCCAGTTCCATTTAACCACAAAACAGTGGATAGCTTTTACAAAAGAATGGGAGCTCCTTGTGGGCAGAAATCTTATTTTTGTCTTTCTTATTAACTGACTGATTCTGTGATCCTGAGGGAGGAGACTTTATATGGTGATCTTATTTCCAGTTTCAGAGCAATCAGCTGAGGCCAGAGTGTGAAAGCTTAGCCCGCTACAAGTAAGAGACTGTAAATATAGTGTAGGGGAATGATCATTGGCTTTGAGTTGGATGACCTGACTTCAAATTTTGGCTCTTCTTCCTTTCTGGGGCTCAGTTTTCTCCCTGTAAAATGATGGAATTGGACTAAAGCTGGGGTTCTTAACCTTTTTTTGTATCACAGACTCATTTGGCAGTCTGGGGAAGCCTATAGACTCTTTCTCAGAATAATGTGTTGTTTGTTTGTTTCTAAATTTTATTTATTTAGTTTTAGTTTTCAACATTCATTTTTATAATATATTTTGAGTTCTAAATTTTTCCCCTTCCTCCTCTCCTCAAGATGGCCTGCAATCTGATATAATTCTATTACAGATATTTCCACATTAGTCATGTTGTAAAAGGAGAATCAGAACAAAAGGGAAAAACCATGAAGAAAAAACAAACAAGAGAAAATAGTATCCTTCAATCTGCATTCAGATTGCATAGTTTTTTCTCTGCATGTGGATAGCATTTTCCATCATGAATCTTTTAGAATTGTCTTAGATCATTACATTGCTGAGAAGAGTGAAGTCTATCAAAGCTGGTCATCGCACAATGTTGCTGTTAATGTGTACAATGTTCTCCTGGTTCTGCTTACTTCACTCAGCATCAGTTCATGTGAGTCTTTCCAGGTTTTTCTGAAATCTGCCTGCTTATCATACAATAGTAGAATAATGTTTTTAAATGCATAAAATACATAGGATCACAAAGGAAACCAAGGTTAGTGAAAATAAAAACAAAATAAATAAGGCAAATAAAGAAATTATATATATATATGTATATATATATATATATATACACACACACACACATATATATACACACACATACACACACACACACACATATACATGCTATTTTTTCTCTTCACTCAAGTTTATGTATTCATGAATGAAATCTATCCATAGAAGTCCATGGATCCCAGGTTAAGAGCAACTTGAACTAGATGACCCTTGAGGTCCCTTCTAACATTCTATGAGTTTGATAAACTACTCATGAGTGGAAACCCTTAAAAACTGTTTCACAGTTTTAATATAATTGCAACAATGACCAAACTGATAAAACACTCATTTTTGCAGAGTATACCAAAGAATTAGTGTAGTACTAATCCATTCAAATCACTGCCATGTAATAGCACCTCTGATGAGACAAACATTTGGGTGGTAGCCACGTGATTCTTGACAAGTGAGGATCTCCTCTGGAGAGAGGAGGGAGAGAAAATCCTTTCTGTTTTTGGAATACTCTGGTGTCAAGACAGAGGTTAAAAGTGCCCAACAACACCCCACCCACCCACTTCCTTAATGTTATTCATAATCTACTTGACCATTTTTAAAAGTTGGAGTTGCCATTGAGGTATAGCATGGAAAAAATTTTGGATTTGTATTCAGAAGACCATTTACTACCTATAGAGGCCTGGGAAAGTCACTTAGCCTGGCTGGGACTCATTAGAGAGTGATTAAATGGTTTGTTTCAGTCTAGTATGAGTTGAGTGTCAGCGTGGAGAAGGAGCTAGTGTGCTTGGCTTGGGGTTCAAGAAGACCTGTTTCTGCTTCCAGCTTTGTGATGGTGACTCAGTTGCTCAACTTTCCTCTAAGCCTTAGGCAACTCTTTAATCCAGGGGTTCTTAATTCTTGGAGAGTTGGATGAGGAAAAAAATACATCTATATTTCCATATAATCGGTTCCCTTTTAATCCTAGTTTTTAAAAAATTTATGCATTTCAAAACAGCATGAGAATGAATGAATGAAGCATGAAAGGGACACAGCCCTACACCTGGAGGAGTTGTTGAAAGGAAAGGCCAAGCTTAAAGGGCATTCACTTTTGGGGATTAGTCTTGCTAAGAAATGACTGTCCTCAAAGCCTCAGGTCTTGAGGGAGCGGAACTGAGAAGGCTTTTAGCAATCTTTTTTAAAATTTATTTTATTTTTAATTTATGGAATAAAACAAGCATTTCCATGACATGATTGCATATGAAATTGCAAATCCATTACGTGCAACTTGCTATTACTTCTGAATATATAATAGTCATCATGCAAATTTTTTTTCTTCCTTCCCCTCCCCCGCCCTAGAGATGGCTACCATTAGATACATACGTACATACATACATACATACATACATACGTATATATATATAATATATATACACACACACACACATACATATATACGTATCTGTAAAATTATTCTATATATACTTCTATTTATCAGTTCTTTCTCTGGATATATCTATCTATCTATATCTATATATCTATCTATATCTTTTTTCTTCATAGGTCCTTTATAGTTAATTTGGGTGTTTTTAATAGTCAAGATAACTTATTTGCCCAAAGTTGTTTTTTTTTTTTTTGGCTAGGGGTTAAGTGACTTGCCCAGGTTCACACAGCTAGTAAGTATCAAATGTCTGAGGCTGGGTTTGAACTCAGGTCCTCTTGACTCCAGGGCTGGTACAAAATTTGTTCATAAAACAATATTACTGTTACTTCATACAATGTTCTCTTGGTTCTGCTAATTTTGCTCTTCATTATTTCATGCAAGTCTTTCCGTGTTTTTCTAAGATCATCGAGCTCACCATTTCTTACAGCACAGTAGTATTCCATCACAATCATGTACCACAACTTGCTCCTCTATCCCCCGATTGACAGGCATCCTTGCTTTTAGCAATCTTAGGGAAAGAGTCCTTGTTCTTTCTGAAAGAGCTCAATGGTATCCCAGGTAAGGATTATATCTGAACTTGAACTTGGTGATGGTGGTGAGTCTAGAGTTTCCTAGTGAGTAGCAAGCTCAGGAGTCCTGTGAATGACCTGTCCAGCAGAAGTGCTTTGTATCATGAGGAGTAAGGCCAACCTAGTGTTAGAAAAATCTGAGACAAAAATCTACTACAGGAGTGAGTGAAGGAATGGTTCTCGAGAGAGAAGCAGGCACGTCGGTGCTTGTTCAGGGGTACAATCAACTCTTAAATAGTTAGTAAGATCCATATTCCACCCGCCAGGGCTATGATTGGTCTAGTTCCTTTGAGTTACACTCTTCCTGGACAGCCCATCTCACGTTCCTCCATGTTCCTCCTTGTCATGTTAGGCCGTGCATCCCATGATAAAAATGGTGGCTATCTCCACCCTCGGGGTGTGTAAGTTAATATTTAATAAGCTTATTAAGCAAGTGCAGTGGAGAAAAGCCTTTGCTCTGTCAAGGCCCTGTCCTTGACCCCGATGGGTTGCAACCAGTTTAGCCTCGAGGACTCTTCCTTAAGGAACTAGTTGTTTACAGAATGTTTGGCATACTTTCTGATTGGTTGAAGGATTATCCATAAGACCTTGGAATTCCTTGGCCTACTGTGGAAGCCTAACCCCCTAAAACCTTTCTTACATTAGCAATAGATCAACCTGCCCATGCCCCCTGTGTGTGTCATTTAATAGTCTGTGAGCACTGGGGTTAAAATGAAAGGCAAAAGACAGTCCCTACCCTCAAGGAGCTCATAATGTGCCTCTCACAACCATTGTTTTCTAAGTATATTTCCACCTTTCCCACAGATATTGTGTTTATTTATGGGAGAGTACACCCCAGGTTTAAGAGAGGAATGTTTTATTGCTGCTATGCAATCTGAATTAAATGTCTTTGTTTTGAGTTAATTGTGTATACTAGCTGGCTACTAAAGATAAATATAGCAGTGGGGACTCATGAGCTATGGAACAGGAATCCAGACCACCAAGGATCCTAGAACCTGGGAGCAGTGACTCCATTGGGCGCCCAACTTGTAAACCTGTAAATGCTATACATATGTTCTATTAGTGTCTCGTATTGATAACCTTTATGGGTAAATAGTGGAAAATTATCATTGGATCACAGAACATAGGATCTTAAGTTTAGAGCTGAAAGGACCCTCAGAGGTTACCTAGTGCTACCCTCTTGGAGGGCAGGGTCTTTGGTCTCCTTTTGTTTCCCCAGAGATTACCACAGTGTCTGGCTCATAGTAGGCATTTCATACATGTTTATTCCATTTATTGAATTATAGATAAGGACTTTCAATCATTTATTTTGAAGTTCTGTATAGTAAGCGACATTAACTGTGTTGTATAGAAATTCTCTATCTTAATTCCAATCCGTGATTGTACTTTAAAAGCTGCTTTTGAATATTTTATTAATGATCCTGCAGAGGAAAATGTAGTTTATATATCTTGGAAAGAATACTATTTTCTATTATGGATGAGGCTATCTCCTTAGGAAACTCAAGTCTGGAATCCCAAAGATATCTATGGCCTTTTGTGAATGTGATTTGAATAGAAATAAGCTTTTTAGAGGCATCTGATGTGACAAAGTAGGTTTGTTGGAATGTTTCCTAGGAATCAGATCTATTATACTGGTTACAAGTTACCAACTTGATAATTACCCCAATCTCATTTGAAAAATGAAAGAAAAAGTATCATTGTTTTGTTGTGTTTTCCAGAGATATTTCATTATGCACAGGATATAGCAAAGATCTAGGCCTAGTTTGCCATCACATGCCTTTGGATATGACTAGAGTGTTTGCAGGAGTGGGGAGGGACCTTAAACTTTGCATTAAATCCCATTTGCCATTCATCTGCCCTACCTGGACCCTGAACACACCAGCAAAAAAGCTCTTTATTCAAATGGACTGGAACAAAGACACCTTTACAAAGTGGCTACTTTTCACCCCAGCTGTCTTTGCCACTCAAAGAGCAGCCTTTCTGGCAAATCAAGATGAGAATCAGTGGGAGGATGAGAGGAAACTGAAGATGTTTGGCTCTTTACACAAACCTTAACAGCACTGAACTTCTGAAATTCCACTGTCCCATATAATAGGTGCGAACAGAAAACAATCGAGGAAGTCTCAAGCTGTGGGTGATTTTTAGATTTGAGTCTTTGTTATTTGTTAACCCAATCCAGAGTCCCTACAATACAAACTTAGTTAAAAGTGCTATATGGCAGAAACTGTAATTATTGATGATCATAAAATGAATGGCTGTCCGAGAATTTGTCTGAGAAAATTTAGAAGGTAAGCTCCTTAAGAACAGGGACAGTTTTTATTTTATTCCCAAAATGTAGCCAGCATAGTGTGTTACATAGAAGAGAAGCTTTATAAACGTTTGTTGAATTGAATTTTATGACATCCTATAAATAGTTAAAAATACCAAGAAGGTGAGATCAAGTGGAAATTGCTGCTTTATAGAGTGCATATAATTTTACTTAAGAAGAAAAAATTTTTTTTAATCTTATATTTATTTTTCCCTTTTATTCTTTTTTTAAATTATTTTAGACCAATACTAAAACTTAAATACATAATGAGAAAAGAAAAAGGAACATTGTAAACTTAAATATAAAATAAGAAAAAAAATCATATGCATAGCAGAACATAGGAGAGGATTCAAAATATGTGGCAATAACTTTTCATTTCAAAAAGCCTATGTATTAAATACTGTGCATTATATTGAAAGCTGTCCATCTTTTCTTTGCTTTCTTATAGGTTCCTTTTATTCTTTAAGATATTTTTCAGCTATCAAACATTAATTTTGTCCTCCTTCCAACCTCCCCCTCTCAAAAAGAAAAACAAAACTCTTGTAACAAATAAGCATAGGAAAGCAAAATAAATTCCCATATTGGACATGTCCAAAGATGTTATGTCTCATTCTTCACATTAGTCAATCACCCATCTGTCAGGAGGTGGGTAGCATCCTTCATCATTGGTCAATATGAGTCACTCAGGTTCACCACCTGAGAGTCGTCTTAGATTTGTTACTTTTGCTCATCCCCATGTTCAATCAGTTACCAAGCTGAGAAGAATTTGGGGTCATGAAGAGAGTGTGGGACTTGCAGTCAACAAGACCTGGGTTCAGATCCAGATTTTGACATTGCCTAGTTGTGTGACCAAGAACAAGTCACTGGGCTTCTCTGTGACTCAGTTTCCTCACTTGTGAAATGCTCCTCTAAGGTCTCGTCCAGCTCTGAATTTAATTCTTACCTAGCTCTTACTGAATGGGGCTTGCCTCAGACAAACTGAGACTTGGGAAAAGATCTTAATTTAGAAAAGCCAAGGTCACCCACTACATATTGGACCATTGCCAGTTGTCTTGGCTTATGTCTTGCCACTGGACTGATGACTCTGGAGGAGAAGGTGAAGCTGATGACTTTGTACAACTCTGCCTCACTTAAATCCAATTCACTCCTAAGTTATCACCTTTGTGATGTCATTGTTTCTCTTCTAAAACAAAGGACAAACAACAAATTTATGATCTTATCAGTTCTACCTAGAATCATAGTTCTAGAGCTAGAAAGGGACCTTAGGGATGACTTGGTTCAACCTCTTCATTTTACAGATGGGGAAACTGAGACCAGAGACGTCTTACACCCTACTTACCCTGGAACTTCTATCTGGCTCCATCTTTCTCCTCGCTTGGCTACCATCCTACTTTTTGCCCTCATTAGCTCTTGCTGAGAATATTATAATCATCTCCTAATTGGCTTCTCTGTTCCCGGTTTCTCTCATTTACAATTCGTCCTCCACATAGCCAAAAATTTAATATTCTTAAGGTACAGATCTAATCTCCCTGAAGAAACTTGAGTGGCTTTCTGTCGCTTTTAAAATAAAATGCAAATTCCTTTGGCTTTTAAAACTCTTTGAAATCTGTCTCCATTTTTTTTGTTCTGGACTGACCTTAAATCCCCCTCACACATTTTGTGGCCCAGTTAAACTGATGTATTTCTTAGTTTTGCATATAATATTCTGTCTCCTCATCCATCTATCCATCCATTCATTCACTCATTCCTACCTTTAGGTTTTTGTATAGGCTGTCTTCTATCCCTGGGACACTCTTCCTCCTCATTCCTGCCTCTTAGAATCTCTGGCTTCCTTCAGATCACACCTACTAGATGAGGCCTGCCTTTATCTCTTTAACTATTAGGGTTTTCTGTGCCCCTCCAAATTATTTTTGTATTTATTCTGTGTATTTTACATGTATTTGTCTGGATATGCATGGCTTTCCCCCTAGTAGAATATAAGCTTCTTGAGGTCAGGGATTGTTCTATTTTTGTCTTGTATTATCAACAGCACATAGTAGGCATTCGATAAATGGTGATTACCCTGAGACATTCATCTGACTTGTCCAGCCCTTGGTAAAATTGGGAAGGAGGTAAATTGTTTTGAAATCTCAATACTCTTCCATTCTCCGCATAAGTAACATGAAAAGAAAAAAAATTTGAGAGGCATTAAGTATTTCAGTATTAAATATTTGTATGTCATTTATAAATGAGGCAGTGCATATAAAGGGATAAGATGCTATATATGTAAGAGTTATTTTTATTTACATCTCCAACTTGTTTTCTTTTTTCAAAAAAATTTTATTGCTTTTTACTGTTTATTTTTACAGTTCCTAAATTCTGGCATTATTTTTAAGTTGAGAGAATTATTCTTGCTCTTCTTCAGAAAATTGCTTTTTCTTATTCTTTTTTTTTCCTATTCTTCCTTCCCATCTACCCTTTTAATAGACCTAGATCCCTCAGACATGTTCAAAGCATAGAAAACTAAGAGAGTAGAGAAGGAGAAAAAGGAAGCCACCAGAAATCATTCCCCTGATGACCCCAGGGTCTCAGCACCTTTTGGACAGGTCAGGAGCACCAAGGCAGCCTATTTATTTGTAGAAACAAAAGGAAATGTTTTCTCTTCCTTTGATCCAAGGAATAAAATGTATCATTTACTGCTTCATCTCAGACAGTAATTTTTTTTTCCAGGCATCTAACCCCGGGCAATTTGAGAATGACAGTGACGTGTTATGGCAGCGAGGACACATTCCAGAATCTGTTATCTGTCACGGACGAGTAGGAATTAACACAGACGCTCCTGATGAAGCCCTGGTTGTCTGTGGCAATATGAAAGTGATGGGAACAGTCATGCATCCGTCTGACAGCCGGGTAAAACAGAATATCCAAGAGGTGAGCACTGACGTGGGATCAGGGCACCTTCACTGACATGTCAGCAGAGGCTGCTGGGTCACTGAGTCCCTGACACTCTGACACTCCAGAAAGCCTCTTTCAACTCAATGCCTTTTTGTTCTGACTGTTGGCTCGAGAAGAATACACTGTTTAAAAACCGTTAAGTGTTGGGGAATGGAGAGGCATCTGTGTTGAAAATCTGAAAGCTTGTCCCATTTTGGTGTAAACAAGGACTCTGCCTCTGGTTTGAATGGCAGTGACAGTGAGGCTGTAGCAGAGAACTTCTCCAGAAAGAGAACTTGTGAATTACTTTGGGCAGGTCACTGACCATGCCAAAGTCTAGGATTTTTGAGGGTGCTGGAGGTGAATGGGAAGGGTGATGTAGAGGCATAACAGATGAAAGTCAGGAAAGCCTGGGTCCAAATTCTGTCTCAGACATTTACTAGATGACCCTGGGCATGTCACTTAATAATAATGATAATGATAACCAACATTTACTACGTGCCAGGCACTGTGCTAAGCACTTTATGATTATTGCCTCATTTGAGTCTCACAACAACCCTGGGAGGTAGGTACTGTTATTGTTCCCATTTTACAGATGAGGAAACTGAGGCAAATAGAGGTTAATTAGATTTTCCCCAAGGCACACAGCTAGTTAATGTCCAAGGCTGGATTTGAACTCAGATCTTCCTGACTGTAGGCCCAGTGCTGTATCCATTATGCAACCTGTCTTAAGCTTAAACTCCCTCATGCTTTGTTTCTTAGTCTTCAAAATGGGAATAAAAATAGCATCTACTTCATAGGATTGTTATGACGGTCAAATAAAATGTTGTATGTAACACGTTTTGTTAACCTTACTGTTATTATTGTTATTGTTATGTAAATTTCCCAAACCCAAGCATACCTCAAAAAATAACAACTAACATTTATATTCAGGGAATGCTAGCATTCTAGTAAGTGCTTAACAACCGGTCCCCCACCCCAAGGTATGCATGATTACATTTTAAGATTAATCTGAATTATTAACATTTTCTCCGTCACTTTCCTGCGTCTAGACAGTCAAGCTCTGATCTGTAGCACTGGTCAATTTCCAAGGTACAAGTGCTCACCCTGAAAATCTAACAATTGGCTTTCATGAGTCTGTTTAAGCTGGTTCCATTGAAAGTTGGCAAGCAGGTTATATATATTATCGCATTTGAACCTTGTGAGGTAGGCATTATAAGTATCATTATGCCCATTTTACAGATGAGGAAACTAAGGATCAGTGAGTTAAAGTGATTTACCCATGGTCATATGGCTAGTTAAGAGTCAGAAGACCTGACTCTTCTTGGCTCCAAGTTCAAAATTCTATCTCTCTGTCTCTCTACACATATGCACACACATGTATATATACCCACACATGCATACACATATATGTTTATATCTACACATATACATATACACATATACACCATGTTCCTCCTCATCTGTACATCCGCCATCTTTATTTAGCCCTTGTTGAATCTATACCTTGATTGTGCCATGCTCTTTCCTTTAATCTTAGAGGAGAATATTTTTTGTTGGTGAACCTGCGGCCTCGAGGCCACAGGTTCCCCAGCCTTGGTCTAGGATCTAAGACTAAGATTCGCACAACAGAATAAGAGATGATATAGTCTAATGGAAAGGGCCTCGGTCTAGATCCAAGTCAGGACGCCTGTCTCTGCTACCAGCTAATTAATCCTTCAAGTCTGCCTCTTATCTTCTTGGGGCCTCAGTTTTCTCAGTTGTAAAATGGGAATAATATCTGACCTTCATACCTCATAGAGTAGTTTTGATGATTAAATTAGATAGTAAATGTGAAAGAGCCATGAAAAGTCAAGAGCAATATAAAAGTGAAATCCATGGCCCAGATCCTCTAAGTTCTGTGTTCACATCACGCTAACTGCGTTTGACCTTAGGACCTGATCTAAAAGAGTAAGTTTCTCTCTAGTTCATTGTCTCTCTCCTCCCCACCACTTGACTTTGGTATAAGTTCACTCTGCGAAACCTCCAAATATGCTTATGTTTAGGTTTCCACAACTATGGCAACAAGGTCCTGGCTCCTTTACAGGCACTAAAGGTTTTATATACATACACGTATATGTAGACATATAGCTATACACATGCATATATTTCTGTATATGTATGTGTGTAGGTAAATGTGGTATATATATGTACATATACATTTATACATATAAATGTGTGTGTGTGTGTGTGTGTGTGTGTGTGCACGTGTATGAAGGGCAGCTAGAGTGCCTGGCTAGCAGTCAGGAAGACTCATCTTCCTGAGTTCAAATATGGCCTCAGAAACTTACTAGCTGTGTGACCCTGGAGAAGTTACTTAGTCCGGTTTAGCTCATTTTGCTCATCTGTAAAATGAGCTGGAGAAGGAAATGGTAAACCATTCCAGTATCTTTGCCAAGAAAACCCCAAATGGGGTCATGAAGAGTCAGGCATGACTAAAACAACTGAACAATGATGTGTGTGTCCATAAACACACACATCAGTTAGAGGCCAGCCTTTGTATCACCCTATAAAAATGCATATGGGAAAAGGTATTTACTGAAAGCACATAAAGCCCTCATGCCAGCCTAGTAACTCCCTTTGAAAGGGAACTGAATTTGGAGACATCAGTAGGACAACTCTTTGACATTCTAGTGAATCCCTACCACTCTCACAGGTCCTCCTGACTCCAGGGGCAGTGCTCTATTCACTGTGCCACCTAGCTGCCCCTCAGCTCCTCACTCTTGGTCATCCTCATATCTAATCTGTTGCCAGATCTCATCCTTTCTATCTTCATAACAGTTCTCATGTCTGGCTCCCATCTTACCATTCACACAGCTGCCATCTTAGTTCAGACCCTTATTGTCTCTCACCCAGATTATTGCAAAAGCTGCCTATTTGTTCTCCCTGCTTCAAGTCTCCCCTTACTCTAATGCATTTTCCCCGTAGCTGTTAAAGTGATATTCCTAAAGTGTAGGTCTAAGCATTTCATTCCCAAACTCAAGAGACCACAGTGCGTCCTTATTACCTCAAAGTCCAAATATAAAGTCAGTTGCTTGGCCTATTTAAAGCTCTTCACAATCCAGTCTTCTTACACTTTACTCCCCTCCACATCCTCTATAATTCAGTGAAAGGTCTCCGCCATTTCCCTTCTCAGTCCTCTTACACCTGGACTGTTCTCCTCTTCTCAAAATCCCTGACTTCCTTCAGAGATATAGCTGAAATGGCACATTCTGTAGGAAGCCTTTCCAACTGTCAGAGCTGGGATTGCCCTCTCTGGTTATCTTCCTTCTCCTCTTTGTGTATCTTATATGTACCTATTTATTGGTATGCTGGATCCCCCTTTGGAATGTAAATTTCCTAAGACGAGGGGCTGCTTTTGCCTTTCTTTGTATCTTCAGGACTTTGCAAAGCTCCCAAGGCATAGTAAGTGCTTAATAATTGCATGCTGAATGACCGTGTAAGAAGTCTTAGACAAGAGTTCTTCTCTGTAAGCTAGATAATTTGACTGGGAAATCTCCCCTGATGAACACTTTTCACATAAATGTAGGGAGTTGTGATTATAATTTAAAGTCTACCAGGCTATGCCTGGTCTTCTCACACCCTTTATTTTCCCCCTGTGATCCTTTTTTTTTTTTAATTTCTTACCACCCCCACCTCAACTTCCCTTCCCTTTCCCCATTCTCCTTCCTCATTGCTTTCTCCTCCAAGATGGCAGAACTGAATTCTTCATTTTAAAATTGACCTTCAGCTACCATAGTCTTATTAATGTGCCATCAAACCCAGAACGTGGCAAACCTCCTCCAAGAAGCTTTTCTCAAATAAATGATTTCCATCCATTTTTCTATCCTATCTAGACATGCAAACTCTTGTGTTTCCCTCCCTCACCACCATTATTCTTTGGTTCACAAACATATGTATGTATTATATACATAATGTTATACACACACGTGCATAGGTATCGTATAGATATACATTTTATACTTATTTATAATCATGCATGCATTGTATAAATATTGCATATATATACATAATATAGGTAATACGTATATCTGTATTATTTGCATAAAACATGTTTGTATGTACAGTATGTACATTTGTGTGACATTCATGATCAAACAATAAATGAAATATGTTGTTTATGTATGTATATAACAATATGTTTATGTAAATAAATACTATATCACATATATAAACAATATATTATATATTGTTTAATTTATTCATTGCTTGATTATTTATACATGCCCTAGAAGCCATGTAATTAGGATTCACTTTTAAATTCTAGTGCCTACCTGGAGAAATACTTAGTAAGTGCTCTGGGCTGCAATGATGATGAATATAGGAAATAATGCTGGGTGTGGAGTCAAATTCCCTGGATTCACTTCATAACATCATGGAATCATAGATTTAGAATTGGAAGAGAAACCTCAGAGGCCATCTAATACAACCCCTTAACTTTACAGATCAGGAAACTGAGTCTCACAGAGGGTATGGGACTTGTCTAGCATTTCTCTGTTAGTCGTAAGTGGCAAAGGCAAGATTTAAACCCAAGTCCTGACTCCAAAAGCAAGGTTCTTACCAGAATCCTGATATTTCCTGCCTGTGCTTTGGGCACACCACTTAATTTCTCTGGGCCTTAATTTCTTTATTTGTAGATTGAGGGGGTTAGACTAGTTCATTTCTACCATCCCTCTTGGCCCTAAATCTACAATCCTATAACTGGTTTTGGGCTTGTTTTCTTTCCCCCTAATTACATAAAGGAGCTATAACCTTTCACATACTCTGGGAGGCTGAACATGTGAGAATGATGTAAATGGTTCACTTTTTAAGGAGGTTTGATTACTAGGGTTCAAGACTTATTGGCTTTTGGATAAACTGCTGCAAAACATATTTACTTAAGGAGTTAATGCACAACACCCAAAATGAATGCCTGCAGGTTCCTGCCTTAATCTGACAGCTTGCCCATCACTCGAGGTGGTCCAAGAAGCATTGTAGAAAGTCACCAAAGGAGCTTTCTGCATGATAGATTATGGGGAGAGAACTCTGTCTTCAGACTGGCTCAGTTTCAGCATTCACATCCAAGAAACTAAGGTGATGAAACCTAGGTATGGCTGAAATCTTTGAAATCAAATCACTGGAAAATGAGGTTAGCAGACATAGTGAAGAGCTAGCATACCTTCTTTAGCTCAAGTCCCATCCTATACTGATGCTGCATGGAGATAAGAAAGATTGAAATCTGTTTAGACAGGTAAGGTATACACAGGGTATTCATGCCGAGCCAAGGATCAAGGAAGAAAGCAAGGGATGAAAATAAATTAGGAAGCAGAACTAGGTCAAAGGCAAACTAGAGATACCCAGGAGGTATTTAGTTCTGATGGTGAACTCATGGGTTCAGCTTGGTGTCTAAACAGGGCCTGCTTGGGCCCTTAAGTTTCACCTTTCTTAAAGTGGCCAGGTACATTCTGTCACCATAATGCTTTGATGTCAAGTGAAGTTTGCAAATAAGAAGGATTAAATTTGACCGAGAGGGAGAGATCATTATGAACGGAGTGCTCCATGAAGGCTTTATAGAGGAAGAAGGAATTGAGCTAGATGAATGGGGTAGTGAACTGATCCAGATGTAATGATAGGTGATGAGTTACTTTTTGTTAATCTATCACTATGAAGACATTTTTACCAGGTTGGAAAAAAGGTATGATTCTAGTACTGTGGATTGTATTTTTAGTTTGTATATAATATCTTGGATTGTATTGGCCAAGATTATTCATACAGGAAAAACCAAGTGGATGAAGAATACCTATTGACTATTGTGATATGCAGTTAGGTAAATGACTTATAGAATTCATCTATCAGCTTGTATCTTGGATAAATGTTGCAAATAAATAAATTGGGTCCGAAATTAAACAGAAGAAGAGAAAGTTGGATTGTCTTTGGGAAAAAGCAACATTCTCTTAATGACCCCAAATTCCTCCCTCAAAGAATGACTTTTTTATATTGATATTCTATCAGTATTTTTGAAGGACTGAGTCATGGAACATTAAAATTGAGTATCATCAGAGGGCAAAAGAAAGGTACATTATGGGGTAAATGACATCATCAAAGAAATACATGAGTGAAAAAAGAGAGGTTTTGGTTACATGGTAAGAGCAAGGGATAACTGATAGCAGTTTGTATTCTCCATTGGCAAACTCTGGGTGTCATTTTCTTGACATCAAGGAAGGCCCCAAGCATGTTGGGTGGCTCCCTTGGGATGAACTTTTGAGATCACATGACAGTGGTTGCTCAGAATGGGCAAGGATGGATGGTTTGTAATTTATATCCCTTGAAGGAACTTCCATATTTATGAGATCACTAATTCATTTGAGTAGTAAAAGTATTGTGCAAGTGCTATGTGGGCCAAGTAGTCATGTTTATTTGCAAATGGTACCCTACAACTTTACAGGGGTTTAAGACAACCAACGCTCCTTAAAGTTAGCAACCTATTTTCTCTTAGGGTGAAGACCAAGTTCAAAGAAAAGAGTATAAAATAAGAGCCATGGATAAGGAGCAAGTAGGGTTTTTGCTCTTTCAACATTGGAAGTTGAACCTCTTACCTAGTGAAGAATTGGGTCAATAAATGGAAGTCACTAACATGAACCCTTGAGATGGCTTATTCTAAAGTATGACAAATCTAAGGGTAAAGTAATTTAAAAAAACTGTTGGGACTCTAGAAGGAATAATTTATATACCAACTCTCTTATGCTTCCCAGAGAGCCCACAGTGTTGACTTGAATAGGAAATATCTTAACATATGAAAACTGATGGTTTCTTTCATTTAAATTAGGTTGATACAAATGAACAGCTCCGAAGAATAAACAGAATGAGAATTGTTGAATATGACTACAAACCAGAATTTGCATCGGCAATGGGAATAAACAATATTCATCAAGCAGGTACTCAAGCTTAGTTTCTTTCTCCCTCTATCCATTCTCCAATCTACTTTTTCCAGTCTTTTTGGTTTTGACTCCATTCTTTTTTTGGATTTCTGTTCTATGGTGGTTGAAGATATCCTTGTGTGTCATTCTGTGCTTTGAGAAATACACAAGGATCTGGAATGGGAAGAGTTAAGAATTTCACTGTATTCAGTTCAAACCACATGTAGGACACATGGAGTTTTTGAGTGGAGGGTTCCTTTTTACTTGTAAATCTAGAGGAAGAAAAACTGTTTCAAGGTCTAATCTTTTTTTGTTTTTGCTTTCATGCTTTCACTGTGAGTAGGGGTGATGGCTGATATGTCTTTGAACTCTATGTTCTAAGGCAATGAGACTTTGGAGGGTAGGTAGGAACAGGAGGAAGGGGACCTATATAGAGGTGTACCTATAATCTGGTGGTTATACTTTTCAGTCTAAAGAAGGGTAGCAGTGCTAGGGATTAAAGTAGACTGTGAATTAATTCACCTTACTATAATGTTGGTGGTATTTCTCTGATAGGGGACATGAACCAATCCAACCTTGATGATAGGTGGTGGATTTTTTGAAAAATCTGTCATTGTGAAGACATTTTTATCAGGTTATAAAATGTCCATTAGAGACTCAGTGATGGTATGCTGGAAACCTGAAGAGCTATAATTCTGGTGCTTCAGGTTGTATTTTCAGTATGTATATCAAGTCTTGGGTAGGGTTGGCCAAGATTATGCACACAGAAAAAGCCTAGTGAATGAAGAGTACTTATTGACTAGATTATATGTATGTGTGTGTGTGTGTATATACACACACACACACATATATATATATACACACACACATTATATATATATATATATAGTTAGTTAGTTAGATAGATGATCTATAGAGCTCATCCATCAGGATGTATCTTGGATAAATGTAAATGAAGAATGAGTTGGGCCCAAGATTGAACAGAAGAGAGAAGGGATATGGAAAAACTCTCCTAACAACCCCAATTTCCCCCAGAAACAATGGCTTTCTAATTTGAAAATTCTGCCAGTGTTTTTGTGAACTATGACTTAGTCAAGCTAATCAGTAGGGAAGTGGGTAGGACCATGCTAATCTGGAGGAATCTTGGGGGGCAACAGCAGTATTGAGATTACAGATGTAAATGGATTCCAAGTGGTTTTTTTTTGTTTTTGTTTTTTGTTTTGCATAAGGACAAGTAGAGCAGAGTTTAGAATAGGAGAAATATAATTACATTAAAGGAGAAGTAGATTAAGTTCTTCTCTGCTTTCCTCCTTCCTCTCCCCTCTTGCTGTCCCTCCTCCCTCCCCCTAGGTGGGGCTGGCACTATATCCTAGGTCAAGATGGAGTCGGGCCAGTCTCTTTTCCAACTCAAATATGCCTGTTTCTTCACATAGACTTTTCAGTTAGAGAAAGAGGAAGGGAGATGATACCTCCCTACTTTATATCTCTATAAAGGGATTTTGTGTCATTAACTCACTACTTTCCCATAGAAAGCCCTTTTCCATGATCATGCCACTCTGGCTCATGGTAGAAATTTCCTTGATCCAAATTTCACAATACAGGGAAAAAAAAGCTCAATTATGCATACATCAAAAATACTTAATACCTGTATTGCTTTTGGAAGGACATGAAAATTGACTTAGTTTCTCCCCCTTTTTCTGCAAAAGAGGCTAGTTCTGGAGTCAGAGGTTCTGAGTTTGAATTTCACTTGGGATGTTACTATTTGTGTGATTTGGGGCAAATTAATTAACCTCCCAGGCCTCAGTTTCTTTATTTGTAAAAGGAAGGAGTTGTAGCATACAATTGTAAAGATCTAGAGTTAGAAGAGATCTTATAAGTCATAAAATCCAAACTGCTGTGGAAACTGAGGCCCAGAGTGGTTAAGGGACTTGCCTAGGGTCATGGTTACTAAATGCCCAGGATCACAGCTAGTAAGTGTCTGAGAGGGGATTCTAATGTTGGTCTTCCTGACTATAAACATGGTGGCCTCTTCATTATACCATAATGAATCTCATACCCAAAACAATCTCTGAAATTCTTCTTCCTCTGGTTCTGTGATTCCAGGATCTCACAATTCCTCAGCCTGGGGAGTGTACTGTGTCTCCAGGTTCCCCCAAAACAGAAGCAGCATCAAACAGTGACATGAGCCCTGGATTTGGAGTCAGAGATTTTGTTCCATTCCTGCTTGTTACTTTCTACCCAGAGAAACCACTTGACATCTAGGACTTCACTTCCATATATGTAAAATGAAGGGTTGGCGGAGATGACCACTAAAGTCCCTTTTAGCTCTTAATCTTTGCAGTAACTTTTCTGTTAATAAATAAAATGTTTCAAAAGTCTTAGTGCAGCTAGAGATTTCATATTAAGTCTAAATAGTTAAGCTTAAACAGCACTAAGACTTTCGGGACACCTTGTATATTAAGCACGGAAATGTTTTGTGGTTAAATGAACTTCAGAAATGCCACGGAGGCAATAGAAAGTCATTAAAGGTCTAAGAGCAGGGCAGTGAAAGGATGAAAGGATCTGAGAAGCATAGATTTAGAGCTTGAAAGGACTTTCAGGACTGTTGAGTCTCACCCCTTCATTTTATAGTTATATTATAGGTAGATTCATCTGGCTAAGAAAATGGAGAAAAGTGCCCATCCTCTTACTGGAATGATAAAACCACAGCCAGGAACAGCCAGAGCAAAAGCATTAAAAATATTCACACCCCCCAGCCTTTCATGGGTGGGTTTTCACAGGATGAGAGGAACTCTCTCCCAGGAGTGCAGTGGGTAGAGTGCTAGGCCTAGAGTCAGGAAGACTTGAGTTCAAATCCAGCCCCAGCCATTACTAGCTCTTTGACCCGACCCTGGGCGAGTCACTTAACCTTATTTGCCTTAGTTCCCTCATCTATAAAATGAGAATGACAGGGCCTACCTCCTAGGGTTGTTGTGAGGATCAAATGAGATCTAAGCATAAAGTGCTTAGCAGGGTCTACCACATAGCGAGCACTTTATGTCATTGTCATTCAGTCATTTTAGTCACCCCATTTGAGGTTTTCTTGGCAGAGATACTGGAATGGTTTGTCATTTCCTTCTCCAGCTCATTTTACAGATGAGGAAACCAAGGCAAACAAGATTAAGTGACTTACCCAAGGTCACACAGCGAGTAAGTATCTGAGGCCAGATTTGAACTTGGGAAGATGAGTCTTCCTGACTTCAGGACTCCATGAGTTCAAATCCTATATAAATACTAGCTATAACAATAATAATATTTACTATCATTATTATTATCCTTTTGCTTCAGCCTATTATAGGTTCTTCCTGTGGGGAAAATAAGCTTATTTCATTTCAACCAAAGCAGGCAGAATGAGATAAGGGAATCAGCTATCCAAAGGATATACATGAGAATGTTTACATTCCTATTCATTGAGAAACAGAATGATGCTCACTTGGTGGTATCTCTCTCCCTCTCTCACTCCTTCACTCTAGGGAATGGCATCCATACTTAAAGGTTTTAGTTTAGACTGAGGTAGTAAATCTCAGAAGAGTTAGCTCTTCTTTCCATTATTTTCAGAGAATTTAATATCTGTATTGCTGTTTTCCATCCCACCTTGGGCTCTGTACAGGGATGTTCCAGTAAATGTTTAACCAGTGGCTCATTGAAAAAAAATGCACGTGACCCATTTTAAAATTTAATCTGCATTATTACCATTTTCTCCATTACTTTCTTAAGACCAGACAATCCACAACAATAAATCAAGCCCTGATTTGTAGCATTTACAGATTTCCAGGTGTTAATGCTCAGACTGAAAATGTAACAAGCTGGCTCTCGCATACCCCGGCTCTGCATGTATTTCAGTGAATTCACTTCTCAAGATCATAAGTGTTATTAAACTTGATGTTTTGTTTTGTTTTCTGTAAGCAGGGATGATAGCCCAAGAGGTACAAGAGATCTTACCCAGGGCAGTCAGAGAAGCTGATGATATTACATGTGAAAATGGAGAGAAATTAGAGGACTTCCTCATGATTGATAAGGTAATTATCCCCAAACAAATGTGCTTTTTTTGGGAGGCAATCGGGGTTAAGTGACTTGCCTAGGGTCACACAGCTAGTAAGTGTCTGAGGTCAGATTTGAACTCAGGTCCTCCTGACTCTAGGGCCAGCACTCTATTCACTGGGCCACCCAGCTGCCCCAATAAATGTACTTTTATGAAAGCTGGTATGTCATGGTGGAAGGAGCACTTGTCTTGGACCTGGGTCTCTAATAAAAAACTGAGGAAAATTCTAGTAGGTTCACGCCAACTCCTCTACATGGATGCTGGTCATCACATTGCTAAAGGTTATTTGCTATTTGTAAAAAGAAGCAAAACCCAATAAATAAAATCATAACAATTTGGAGTTCCCCAAGAAGCATCCTTCATAATCAGTTACAGTCTCTCATTGTCTTGACCTCAGTTTCCTCGTCTGTAAAATGAAACAGTTGGATTTGATGGCTGAGGTCCCTCCCAGCTTTCTATCCATGGTCCTATATATAAGGTAGGTGCTGTTATTATCCCATTTTACAGTTGAGGAAACAAGCAGACAGAGATTTAATGACTTGTCCAGAGTCGCACATCTAGTAAGTGTCTGAGGTTGGGATTGAACTCAGATCTTCCTGATTGTAGACCCAAGGCTCTATCTATTGTGTATCCTAGTTGCCTACATTCATTCAGGGTTGGGGAGGGGACTCAAAATTGTGCTATAATGAAGATCCATGAAAAGACGTTTAGCCTAGCTAAAATAAGACTTGGGGCATGGTAGTGGGAATAATCTGGTCTCCAAATATTTGAGGGGTGGACATGTGCAAAAGGAATTAAGCTTATTTTGATGAGCCCACAGAATACAACAAGGGATGGTGAGAGTTACAAAGAGCAAATTTCAGTTCAGTCTAAAAGTAATTGAATGAGAAAGAGCTCCCTAGCAATTCTAGTTATAAGAAATGGAATGGATTTCCTCCTCAGAAGATGGAGACATGAACCCCTCATCTCTAGAGACCTTCAACTTGTCAGAGATGATATCATCGATGGGTTAGACTAGAGGTCTAATGAGAGTCCTTCTGAATGCTGATTCTATGTCTAGATGACCTGAAAAGTCTGTTCTATGATTCTAAGTGTGAACATAGGGAAGGTCATTGGTCAGAATTCCTGCTCCAACTGAGTTTGAATGTCATTTGAGCAAGAAGTCACAGCCAGGCTAAATTAAATTAATATTGGAAATACATGAAGAAATGGAAGATTTTTGGTGTTTTTAGCAACTTAAACTCAGAGAGTGAAATCCATTGAGGTGTCTTGTCATCAAGGCTAAACTTCTACAAAATTAGGAGCAGCTGGAGGTAGCATTGTTCTTACTCTAACTCTAAACTTTTGTTTCTTTCTCCCTAACTCTTTCTGATCTCTAGTTACTTACTTAATCTTAACCACATTCAAATTTCACCTGGATTTACTTTAGGGAGTTTATAGAATCAAAGGTCTACCACTTTAATTTTCCCATGGAAACCCCAGGAGATTTTTGGTGAGTATGAACCTCATTCTGTCTAGAAAGAAAAATATCAGAAAAGAGTCCCTTATGCTTTATTTATTTAACAAGCACCCCCCTCAATTTTGTCACCCCTTGTTACCCAAGGAACAGTAGGTAATTAGTGTATGTATATGTGCGTGTATATGTATATGTATATATACATATATATATATATATATATATATATATATATATATGAACAGTATAGGTAATGAGTAATTACAGTTATACAAACACTACTTGAATTCTTATTTATATTATTCTTTACTAAGAAACCAGAGATGAACCATAAACCAAATAGCAAAGCATTTAATTAGGACAGAGTATCAAAGTAAATTACATGGGCATATGAAGTAGGCAAATCTTTACCTACTTCTCATACAAGAGCATAATCTCCCAAGGATTCTCATTGTGGGGGAATAGGGCGCACTCCGTGGAAAACTCATATTCTTCCATAAAAAGATTGCATCATACCTGGTATACTTCCTGCCATCACAGCATGTTCATGTATTTGATGATAAACAAAAACCCTGGTAGTATCTATTTTGTTATTTATGTGATTAATTCTGGAGGGGATAGGGATTTAGAAAAAAGTCTCACCTCACTAAAGAGATGAGAGACATTATCTTTCAGCACAAACTGAGGAACATTGAAGGGTGGGAACATATCCTGTTTGACTTTCTCATAAGCAAAAAAGATTTGCTATAAAAATCATATCCCCTAGGCAAACACAGGCTTCCAATAAGCAGGAGGGTGTATAAATGTAAAGTGTAATTTATGTACCTATAGATCTAAATAAGGTAAATAAGCCTTTGAAGGGGAAAGTACCTATTATTAAGCACCTACTATGTGCTAAGGCATTTAAAAAATATCTTATTTGATCCTCACAACAACACTGTGAGATAAATGAAATTAATATATGCTTTTCACAGTTGGGCAAATCGAGGCAGACAGAGTGAAGTGACTTGCCCAGGGTCATACAGCTAGTAAGTGTCTGAGTCTGGATTTGAACTCAGGTCTTTCTGACTTCCAACCCAGTGCTCTATAAACTGTACCACTTAGCTGCCTTTGAGGCAAATGAAAGCCTGGGGAAAGATAAGCTTATCAAGAAAGGCATCCTGAACCAACCTCCCTCTAGCTGGCAACATCATGTGAGGTGACATTAGGGAATCCAGAGGATACCTACGTTCTGGACCCCCTCCCTCTGTTACGTGTCCTCATTTGGATTCACAGAATTTGAAAAGCTGGAAGGGACCTCCGTGACCATTTAGGTCAGCCTATATATGAGAGGAATTCCCTCTATAACATACCTAATAAGTAGACTTTCATCCTGGATATAAAGATGTCCAAGATGGGGGAGCTCATCACCTGTCTAAGCAGCCCATTTCACTTTTGGACTGTTCTAATTCTTAGGAAGTTTTTCTTGATACTAAACATACATTTGTCTTTTTGCAACTTGGACCCACTGCTTTTAGTTCTGGTCTCTGGGGTCAAACAGAAAAAGTCTGTTCTATCTTCCACATAGCAGACTTTAAAATACTTGAAGATAGCTATCATGTCTCCCCTGAGTCTTCTGTTCTTCTCCAGGCTAAGCATGCCTATTTCAATCAATCAATCAATCAATCAACATTTGTTAAGTGCCTACTACGTGCCAGGCACTATGGTAAGCACTAGGGATTCAAAAAAGGGCAAAAGACATCCCCTGCCCTCAAGGAACTTACAATCTAATGCCTTTTTCCTCAACTTATACTTACTTGATGTGGACTCGAGGCTCTTTACCATGCTGATTGATCTTTTCCTGATATTCACTGACTTGTCAATATCCTTCTTAGACCATGGTACCTAGACCTGAACACAATACTTAAGGTGAGTTCTGATCAGAGCAGAGTAGAGTGGGACTCTCGCCTCCGTCCTATTCCCGGGAGATTTGTCCCACTTAATAAGTATGATTGTATTAGCCTTTTTGTGCTGCTTCACCACACTGCCAAACTCATATTGAGCTTGTAGTCTATTAAAAACCTGAAGATATTTTAACAGAACAACTGCTCTCTAGCCATGCCTTCTCCATCTTGTATGGGTGAAATTGATTTTTTATGCCCAAGTGCGTGATTTTACATTTATCCTGACTGAAATTCATTTTATTAGTTTCAACTCAATGCTTAGTTTAGCTTAGTGCCTGGCATATAGTAGGTGCTTAATAAATGTTTATTGATTGAATGCTTTAGCCTGTCAAAATCCTTTTGGATCCTGACTCTGTCATCCTGTGTGTTAGCTACCTCTTTCAACTCTGTGTCATTGAAAATTTGATGAATATTCCATCCATGCCTTTATTCAAGCTATTAATAAAAATGTTAAATACAACAATTACAGCTAAACCAAAAGTTGTAAGGGAGAAGGCTCTGAATACATCCCTAAGTCTTCAGACTTTTCTGTGTCCGGCTCAAGCCAAAGTGACATTCCATTATTTGTTATAAAAATAAAGCCTTGGGTTGACAATTCACATACTCATGTTGTTTTCCACTTTGCTGTAGTGATAAATATAACAAGCAATTACTCCCTTTTCCTTTATATTTGCCACTTTTTTGTCTGTGGAAAGCCTGCTGCCTCAATTTCTGCCTTGGCTTCAACTGCAGGCATGTATGTATTTGATGTAGGCCTTACTCTGGAATGTCTTTCATTAATGATGAGGTCTACCTAAAGAATGGGAAAGTGCAGATTAAGGACTGATAGGCTAGAATACCTAGACTTCCTGCCCTTTTTTTAAAAAAGGATTTTCTGGGAAATGATAAATGAAAAGCACGAGTCTATATGGAAGCATTTTCTTTTCTCCCCCAAAGTCAGGCCATTTCATGAACTGCTGGTTTTGTATTATCTGTAGATTGCTTTTTCAATTTCAGTTTTATCTACAGTTTATAGATTGTGAATCAGATCATGCCAAGTTAGAGGAGATAGCTATTGAGGTGGATGCCAGGTGGCTTTGTTTTCTTTCCTCTCTGACACAGAGTGATGACCTTAAAAGATAACATGAAGTTATTGAAAGTTACCTCCTTCTTGGCATATGTAACATATGCCTTATGCCTCTGTGTGGTTCCCTGAAGGGTGCTGACAGCTTTGTCTCCAGGAGAAGGGGGCAAACCAGAACTTGAGAGAGTTGCCCTCTGTCCAAAGTCAAGGAATAAGATTGGGATGGCATAAGGGAAGAGATGGCAAACCATTCTAATGTTGTTGCCAGGAAAACCCCATGGACAGTACTGAAATGACGAAAGACATACCATTGGAAGGTGAGCCTCTAGGGTAGAAGGTCCTATCCTGTTGTGGTCCATGAGGTCAAGAAGAGTCAGACACAACTGAATGACTGAACAATAACAGCGAAAAGGGAAGAAAGCTCAAAGTTGCCAAGTGAAATGAATTGATGACCCTTTTTGCGCGAGTCTCTTGACAGTCTAGGTAGCAAAGGAAAGACTTTTGTGATGGAGAAG